TGGTCCTTGCCGCATACACACGTGGGTATCCGATGTGTGGTCGAAGAAGAGGAATCATTGTTGGAAGAGGATTGAGAGGATCGTTTGGTGTTTGTTTGGCTGGAATGCTCGCCCTGCCAAGTGGCGAACGTGCTTCCGCCCTTTCCACCCTTCTGATCAAAAGTGAGGGAATGAGCCCTCTCAAAAATGGTACTGATCTCAATGCCGTCTGGAAATCGACCTTGCCAGAGTGGATCGATGCCACGGGCTTCGTCTTCCATTTTGTTGAGCCAGTAATGAGAAAACGTGGGGTTTACTCCCGAAACTGCCTTAAGGAACAGCCGAGTCGGTTTGAGGCCTTGGGCGTCGGGGATACCGAGCTGTTGGGCTTCGGTGAGGACTTGGTGCCACTTTGTGACCCAATCCGAAATCTTTGTCCTGTCGGGCGACTTCAACGTGGAATGAAATCGGTCAAGGACGTCTTGTTCTTGTGCCCAGCTGGTAGGCTGAATCCTCTGCTTGAGGACCCTAAGTTCCTTTGCAACGTCATGTTCGTAGGCAATGGTGTTGTAATAGTTCCCACAGGTCTTGACGATGTGTTCCTGTAGGCTTGCTAGAGCCTTCTGTCGTGCCTTAAAGATCGAGTACTCATGACGGTAATGGGAAGTCAGAAGCTCAAAAGTTTTGATCTTGTCAGGATTGAGGGTTATGGGTGTTGCCTCATCCTGCAGATCTGATGGTTCCGGTCTCCGTGGTTCCCGTGGAGCCGGGTTGAGGGGTCGACTTGGGTCGACAAAGTCCCAGATTCCGTGCGCAATGGCGAATTTTTGAATAACGCTTATCCACTGTTTCCAGTCTGACGGGCCGTTAAGCTTGACCCGGGACGAATCGATGGACGCTTCCTTGTGTGACTCCATCCTGAGTGCTGATGGTAGTCGATAGACTGAGCTTGTACGTCTTCGTGGACGTAGATCTCGATAGACTGAGCTTGTACACCTTCAAGGGCGTAGATCTCAAAAACTGGCGCTGTCGCTCTTCGTGGAGACGATTTGTGCCAAAGCGTAGGTGCAAGAAAATCCGATGGCGCAACTAAGGGCCAACCGGGCTCATAACTCTCGCAGGGATAAAAAATGGAAGGTAAGAGTCAATCTTGTTCATTGTCGTCTATCTAAAATGAATGTGAGAAGTTCTGTCTTCTTATAGTCCTGAGGGAATATGACTGCCTTGCGGTGGCGAATTGCCACTTGCCACCCAGGATGCTTTTGTAATGTTATCTAGAAAGTTCGATGACATCGCTTATCAACCGCCCATTTCATTATACGCATCCTGAATGCGACACCTGGCATCATATTTAAGGGCAAAGATCTCCAGGCACAGTGGTTTAAGGACGAGTTTCGAGAATTTGCGGACTGGAACTACATAACTTCACCAAATGGATGGACGGACAACCACATTGCCGTCGAATGGCTTGAGGAAGTCTATTTGCCTCGGACGCGACCTGACGACGACTCTGAGGCCAGGCTTATCATTCTGGATGGACATGGGAGTCATGCAACGGTTCGTACTTTGTTTTTACGGCGATGAGGCCCTGCTGATTTGACGACAGAATAAGTGGATGGCTACGTGCTTTCTGAACAATGTCTACTGTTGTTATCTTCCATCTCACTGTTCTCATGGCCTCCAGCCATTCGACAACGGTGTTTTCAATGCTATAAAGGCAGCCTACCGGAAGGAGCTTGACAGACTGGCTTCTTTGACGGATTCCACGCCTGTTGACAAGGTCAATTTTATACGTGCGTATGCCACGGCACGTCAAACGGGAATGACAACAAGAAACATCTTGTCCGGTTGGAGAACCACTGGAAATTGGCCAATCTCGCGTTCCAAGGCGTTGGGGCATCCTGAGATCGAAGGAGACAAAGTTACGGCATCCCCGGAACATAGGCCGTTTTTGGACTCTGACGACACCCCGAAATCTAGCCGCCATATTCGTGATCTTGGCAAGAACAGAACACCTACGATTCGGAGGCGATATGCCAAGATAGCGAAAGGCTGGGAAACTCAAGAACAGACACTAGCAGAACATGGTAGTAAAATTGCTAGGCTGGAGGAGGAAGTGGACAGGCTGAAGAGAGGAAGAAAGAGAAGAGCGATCCCTAACCCAAATAGACGCTTCATGCGTCTCGCCGAAGCTTTGGCGGCCGGTGAGGCTATCCCCGAAATTGGGAGTCCAAAGAAAGCTGTTGTGGTGGATTGCGACTGGTTAGAGGAGGTGGTGGAGTCGGAGACGGAGACAGCTTCGGTGATTGAGGTCAACGTATCTGGGCCTCCGCAGCGCACCACGCGACAGGGTCGCGTCATAAAAAGACCAAGAACCAATTAGTGTGTTCAATTCTCATTCAAATGATGTATCTTTTATATTTATATGTCCATAGTTCGCCGAAATATGAGCAGTTCAAAAATCAGTTTTTTTTGGTGAGGTTTGTCTCATTTGGCGGAGCATAAGGGGGGGGGGGGTAAGCATGGTAGTGGATTGCGACTCGGAGGAGGTGGAGTCGGAGACGGAGACAGCTCTAGGGATTAAGGTTAAGGTATCTAAGCCTCCCTAGCGCACCACGCGACTAGGTCGCGTTATAAAAAGACCAAGAACTAATTAGTGCGTTTAATTCTCTTCCTAATAATATAGCTTTTGTATTTTTATCTCGTTAGTTTGCTAAAATATAAGCTGTTTAAAAATTAGAATTTTAGTGAGGTTTGTGTGGGAATGGTAGCAATGCATTGCACCTAGCTAGCAAGCTTACGTACACAGTCACGTGTACGGCTGAGGCCACAAAGCTAGCATCGTGGCCTCCTCCCCCTTTTCGATAGACAATCCTCATAGCATAATACGACACACCGGTTGAACGACGTTCCCAGTTTGTCTCATGCTCGAGACCTGCCAACAGTTTGTCTTATTTGGCGGAGCAAAAGGGGGGGGTGAGCAAAAGGGGGGGTAAGGATGGTACTGACATCCTGTACCCACGTCTCAGTAGCGGATATTTGAGTCAAGAAAAAAATTCTTTTAATCGTATACGAGCTGGGATTGCGAGCAAGCTTGATTAATCAATCCCCAAGGGATTGTGGGTACTTAATGCATGGCTTTATAGGCTTGCCTGACTCCAATGCTCAGTTCAGACCTTAATAAAGTAAGGGCCGGCGTGAATTTCAACTCACGTTGCGAAACAAACTGGCTCAAAAGTAATCACGGTCAGGGTTGCCGAGCTGACTGCCCCACAGCGACAGGGACTCAAGATTAACGTAATGCATACATCCCCTCCCGAGGCCCCATTTGGCAGGTTGCAGCGCAGTCTATGACTGGGGCTGTGGCAGTGCTCAAGCACAAGGTTCTTTTGGCATCGCTTGAACACTAACTTTGAGATGTTGTATAAGAAGCACCTCTGAGCTCAATGAAGAATGAAGGTAAATAGTCATCTGTCCAGTGCACTACGTTCAATCTGACAACACGTTCGTTTTCGTTTCCGTCCCTACTCTCGCTTACAATTATACGTCATTTTTCTCACAAGATTAGCCATGCATCTCTCTACCGGATTTATTTTCCTCCTTGCTGCCGACCTCGGGTTGGCCTATACCTGCTCGGAGATTCTTCGCGGTGATGCGCCAGAGGCGGACCAATGGCAAGTAAAGGTAAGTTTAAGGAAACAAGGTTCTTCTCGATGGTCAGTCGTTATTAATCAAATCTACAATATTAGGCTTGCGCTAAGGTAAGAATATACTCTACTAATAATCACCCGCCTAGTTGAGAGGTACGCCCTAACGCTTTACCAAGGCAACCGATTGTGCGGGCAGTCAAGACGCAACGGCTTGCTGCGGAAGATGGAATAATGGGCCGACAGAGGTACGTCTACCCAACATAAAGTCAAGAAGAAAATGTTATGCTTACTGCCTAAATAGAAGAGAAAGAAGCAGTATGCGGTGAAGGCGTGCCAGGAGGCGCTGGACCACTACCAATGTGTTGGTCCCTTTAAACAGGCTCTAGACACGAACAACTTCGAGGATTCAAGCGAAAAGTCTGATGAGCAGTGGAAAGGAATTGTGAGTCCACCATACAATACATGTTGAGTTTTGCTGGCGCATGCTAATGGTATCTGCTTAAAAAGGGTTGTCGCGATGTAAGTAATGCCTGGTACAAGCATGCATTGTGTGGATTCCAGGGCACTAATGAGTAACCACAAGGCCGCACGCTTTGTTGGAGACTGGGGACGCAAGGACAGGTGCAATGAAGGAGCCGAGAAGAAGAAGGTGCCTGTAAGTGCTAGCTCTTAAAGCCTGAGTATACTCTGATAGATGCTGACTTGATATACAGGCGGAGCATGCCGAGGCATACCTTTCGAAATGTCGAGGATTCTAAATAGTGGCATTGGCACGCGCGGACTGCAGTCAAGGACTGAATGATTTCTCTGGCTACAGAAGGACGTGGCAGGTGTCACGCGCTGTGCCCGGCTTGGTGGACCAGGTTGTACCGGGTCCGCCGGGTCATGCCCGGGCCCCGCTCCACGGAGCCGGATGCTGCGAGAGCATTCTGCAATGAGCGATATGAGCTCGCCCTCGAGGCTTCGCCCCGAACTCTGCTTCTGCAATCTTTAGTTCTAGATAACACCGCTATCAGATTCGCGAACTTGTACAGGGTGTTTATGCCAAATTTCTCGGTGATAGCGGAACTGCAAACTAACGAGGAAGGACGCGCTATGCAGTTAAGATGGATTGTGCAAAGAAGCCTTCGGGAAGCTCAAGGACCTGCTGATTACAGTCCGATCCTTTACTCCATATTCCCTACAGGGCTCCGAATAGTGCAGACCGTTAAGTGGACTAATAGTGCGGTTCGACTATCGCGGATCAAACCGGACCGTCGGTTCGGTTCGGAGACGTCGAACTGACGGTTACACTATTAGTCTACATTTAATAGTAGGGGTCCCGCGGACAGCAACGATACTTGCCTGTAAACGCTTGCTCAATGGTTCCCAATGGACGTTGGCCGACGTCGGCTGTGCTGTATAGGCCATATTATCAACCTGGTCGTGCAGGCCGTCATCTTCGGCTCAAACGTTGGCAGATTCGAGGCGGAGCGTCGTGGCGCGACGGATGAATTTAGTTTCGAAATTTGGGCCAAGAAAGGGGCCATCGGCAGACTCCATAACCTTGCTACCTACATCCGCCGGACGGACCAGCGAAGGTAAGCGCTCCGGCGCTTGCAGACCGAGCTCGCAGGGGACGATGCTATATTTACATTGGAGATTGTTGTTGATGGCAGGACACGCTGGAACTCCATTTACATGATGATAAACCGAGGTTTGCCGGTCTGTCCCTGTCCATACAGTTAGTCCTTTGGCTGACCCATATCGGACTATCCAGCGCTCGAGCTGCGCAACGCCATTGAACTGTATCAATCTCGCTGGCAAAAGCCAAAGAATGATCCCGTCCATCGTGACCTAACGAAAAACTTCCTCGGCGCTGCGGACTGGGCGGAACTGGAGTGCTTCCACAACTTCCTGAAGCCGTTTTACGTCCTTGCAAAGACAATGGAGGGTAACGCCAACAATGCTAGCGCAGAGGGCGGGCACGGCGCGGTGTGGGAGACCCTCAAGACAATGGACTATCTATTTGTCAAGTTCAAGCAGGCGGCGGAGGAAACTCGATTCGAGGAGCCCTCCCGTTTTAAGTCGGGCATTGACTGCGGGTGGAGGAAGCTTGAGGACTACTACGTCAAAACAGACCATGCTCCTGTGTACCGAGCCGCTCTAGCACTCCATCCATCATATGGGTACGACTACTTCGAGCGGCATTGGAAAAGTGCGAGGAATAGGCCGCAATGGTATAGCGACATGCAGTCCGCTGTGGGTAGCCTATTCGACGAATACGCACGACAGGCCGAAGTCGAAACTCAAGCTCAAGCGGGACTTCTGGAAGGCGATGTTGAGATCGAGGCTGAGGTCAACGACTACAGTTCCTTTGGGAAGAGGTCGATCCGTTCATTGAATACACAACGAAAGAAGGCCAAGGCAGTGACCGAGCTGGACATATTCCAGACGCGGCCAATCGCCCAACACCCTGACGCAGACGGTCGCAAGCTTGAAGAGCTTGTCGCCGCGGTTCGAGACCAGATAGGTGTTGGGATTGGTACTGACGGTCGTTGAACGGATGCCCGTTGGGCATCATCCCCAATTCGTCGATCTCAAGTAGGAGATAAGCAATCTTTGCAGCTCGTGTTCAAGCTGGTCCCCAGCGGTCGGCAGAACCTAGGGAGGCGGTGCCGTCTGCTAGGGGCCGGCGTGGGCCGACGTAGGCCGGCGTCATCCAGCGGCAATAGGAGCATCACTGGGCGCGAGGCGCTTCGAACCCCCTCCAGGCTCCGATAGAGGTCCCACTGAAGTATGCTTCAGGCCAATCATGTCCTAGTCTTTATCTGGTGCGGCAGCCATCTCATCGAGGCATCCATCCCATGAAGTAGGAGTGCTTTCTGGCTGCAGGGCAGCCAACAGAAGCACATTTTGACTCTAGCGCGGCAACTTACAGAGCGCTGACATTCGACCGTTGCTGAGTGTGGCAACCATCTTAAGAAGGTGGTGTGAAGCGGTAGAGAGCTCCGGTTACCGGTGCAGTTCCTTGAAGAACAACAACGTCCAAGTCCTTACATGAGGCAACCATTTCAAGAAGAGGAATGGCACCACAGGAAAAATTTCGACAAGTACTCCCTTGCATCCCGGCTATGACTTGAAAGCCGGTATCAGCAAACCAATAAACTCCATGCATAGGCGCAAAATGTGGCTGAGCCACGATCCGCATTTGCAAGGATGCTCCTGCGGACACCACCACGGCACGCGCTAATGTATGTGAACCTCCCGTGCATAAATCCTGAACCAACAGCAGAATTTGGAGCAACTTGAGACCTCTAAAATGGCATCGAAGCTGGATCATCCGCTGACTTTACCACATTAACGTCCATGTTTGAGCACATGTACCTGGAAGTAGCGCTTCAGGAGTGAGCTTTCAAAAAGTTGTTATCTGGCGATGCAAGTTTTAGCTCCTGGTCATTTTCTCAGCAACGGCTCCGAGACCCCTCGTCTCCCACCTTCCTTTCCCCATGCTCTTCTATCCGGCTATGCCTATGTATACTTTGACACTATCCTGGCCATAATACGTCAATTCATTTTTACCTAAACTCGGAAAGGCAATTTGTTCGTAGGTTTCACGAGTGTTATGTTCCTGGCTACCCACCCTTGTTCCATGGAAGAAATGCGCATCGCAACTGTAGACATCGGACCGGGCACTACGAGAAGGGCTATTGCTTGTCCTACTGCTTTTTCGAGAAACATTTGAAGCGCCCTACAACAAAGGCTTGAAGAGGCGCTACCTAAGTAAATGGCGTATTGCTCGTCCTGGCGGCATTTCGTGTGACCGTTGTTTTGTCTGCTACGAACTGAGCTCCACTCCGCCTCTGCCCTCGACCGTGTCGCCGGTGATTGCTCGTGGTCCTCGTGGAAGGACGTGCGAAGAATGTTGAACACTCGGATGACAGGGGTGCCGACGCTGACATAGTCGTCTGCGATGACCCCCTCAATGGCGTCGTGCCCGGCGGCTCCACCGATGAAGTCGCCAGGAAGTACAAGAAAACCTATGCTAACCTCATCGGCGGGATGGCGTCCCACTACTCGGTCGAGGCCCCCCAGCGCGACAAGGAGAGAAAGAAGGGGACGAGATGGGCTACATGACTCTCCAACGCCTGACCAATGAGCAGGCTTTCTAATCATACGCGTATGGTTTGTTTAAACCATATATTGCCCATATATTGTCGACGATGGGAAGGCTCGCCAGCCGCGGCTCGCGCAAAGAGGCCTTTCGGAACGAAGCAGGCGACAGGAGAAGGGACAGGAGAAGCGAGGTCCAGAGGCGGCGAGAGATAGAGGTATTGTATAGGTGAAATCGAGACCGAGTGTCAGAGAGGCGGCCTGGACCGCTGCGGGGAGATTTGCTTTGCAAAGGCGCAAAGGGTGTGACGAGAAGGCAGGTTGAGAAGATAGATGTGGGTGGGCAATGCAGGTCTGGGCGAGTGGAAGGCTCATGGGATTTACAGGTGCTAGAACTCATAGGTTTCAACTCACTAGGTAAGGAGTATATTGAGGAAGTTTGGTTGTATGTGTGAAAGGGGGAACAAGAGGAGAAGGAAATGCCCTATTCGAGTCTCTCGCATTCGAGTTTGAGGATGATGAAACTTGTTCCTGGTCATGTTGTGTTTTTGTGTCAATTGGATCACAGAATATTCTTGGGCGGATGTCGGGCGCGGCCCGGTCGGGACGAGATCGATGTGAGAGGTGTGATAGAGTCGGAGACGGATGCGTCTAGGTAATTCACTGGCTTGATGTCCGTCTCTGACTCTTCGGGATCCTCCTGAGAAAGAAAAGATTTGGCAGAGCCATGACCGTCGCCGCTCGCAATTATGGTGGAAGTTTCCGGAGAAAGTCGCCGTCTCTTGGTTGGGGTCTGGTCGGAGTCGGGCAATGACGGGCTTGATGTTATTGTAACGGGATCGACCGACCTAGATGCAGGCGGTATGGAGGGGACGCGGCCTGGGGCGGCCCTGGTTTTTTTTTGGGAGAGGTGAACTTGGCCAACGCATCGGTATAGTCGGAGGGATTTCCGACCGAGCGCTTGGGTGTCGTCGGCAGCAGTTGTGTTGCAGAAGAAGCTTGGTTGGACATGGCCCTGTCGAGGAAGGTCCACGTATCGGGGACGACGAAGAAGATATAGTCTTGCTCGAAGGCCGGGGCATGCGCCATGATGCGGTGATCCAGTAAGCCGGCGATTTTGCCCATGCAGGTAAGGAGAGCGTTCGGCTGGAACTGGCCATCGGGCCTCTCGGTCATCCTCTTGCATAGGGAGGTCCAAGGATTAGCGTGAATGGGGAAGATGACGAAAACTTGGAAGGGATGAAAGCCCTTACAGGGTGTTTTGCCGGGAATCCCGGGACAAATGAAGGTCGAGGGCTGGACGAAGCCGCAACACCTCAGCTGAGTGTCGCCAAGGGCCGCGGCCGAGTTTCTACGTAGAAGGTCGCGGCCGGAACCGATGACTGGTCTCGTGAAGGAGACAATGGGTTGCATCGTTGGGAAGGCATCCGCCGAGCCGAGGGTGCGAGGGACGACTCTGCGGCAATCGTCAGGGAGGGTAGTGGCGACGGAGAGGTTGGGGGCATAGACCTACGGCTGGTAGCTGTGATCGCGGACAATGAGCGCGGGGATGGTGTATTCTGTGATGTTGTCATCGTCCGACTCCAAGCCATCACGTCGCTCGATTTCCCACGTCCGGGCAAAGGGATGAACACGACCGACCATAAAAAACCATTGCTCGGTCCATTCAGAGGGGATTATCTGTTGGTTGTATATGGAAATATTAAGGCTGAAGAAGATGCAGGTCGATGGATCGTCAGTATTTGACCGGATTGCCGCATACTCTGGAGTCGACAGCCACGAGGGTGTTGGAAGGAAGACCCTCGCTAGGGTTTCTGCGTTGAGCCCGTTGACACGATGCTCATTCTGGTAGGCGAACCTAGACGGGCAGCCGGGCTGGACAAAGGCCATCATGGACATGTCGGCGCCAGCATTTTTCTGGCTGTCAAGAGGTTGCCGTGGGGACTGGGGAGGACGAGGCATCGATATTTAGCTGGAGGGTCGACATCGTGAGGACATGGCAGATGCAGTCAGCGTGGAAGTGTAAAGGAGGGGGGGTTACGTAGAGTAGAGGTAGGCATCCCATAAGGCAGGTTTTCTTGCCGGTCGAAAGAGGGTTCGCGGCTAGGGTAGGGGAGACTTGACAGTGGTCAATGAATGCTCCCTTTTAATAGGTGATAGATCGGAAGCGGTGGTATGCAGGAATCAGCTGGGAAAGATTTCGGAAGAGCCTCGACCATTTGGCCCGATGATCGTGAGTGACGTCGGCAGCTGAGGGTTAGAAGTTGAGCAGGGCAATAGTCATGTTGCAGGAAGTTGGAGGTCGGCGAATGGTAGGTATTGAGCGTGAGTCCGCAGAAGAAAATGAAAGTTTAGTTGTATCCTTCGGTGTCATCGTTCCATAGAGTAGATGGTAGCGGCGAATTGGATTGAAGGAAGGAAAGAGATTATGGTAGTATTGCAGGAATCCTTCTTGGAAGGTCGTCGGTAGTTGGATGGGTATTGCATGCGGCTGAGCGAGAGCCGTGTCGAGTCTACTATTGGGACACGGTGAAGTTGGATGTCTGGGGTCGATCTAGGAGGAGGAATCTGGCCAGCTTCTTGGCATTGATGGCCTTGATCGGCACGACGGTCTGGTCTAGATGGACCTTGATACTGCGAGTGTGTCACACGCTGAGGCGGACTCGCAGATACTGTTTGAGAACTGATGAGCAAGGTGGGGAAGATGGTGTTCGAAGGGCTGGGGAGTATGCTTTAGAGTGTGGGGCAGGCGGTTGGCACCGATGTTTGTATATGTGCTGGAGGTCCGTGTTGGAGGGAAAAGGAACTGTGCGATGGTGTTCTTCTCAGCACGGCGGTTGTCGGGGATCCATTGGAGCGGGCTGGAGAGAGCGCGGCGACGGAAGGGCGGCTTTTGACAAAGTTGGGCTGACAAGTTGTATGCGCAGGCTGGCCGAGACCGGGAGTACGGACACATGTAGGCAGGGTGATGGGGCAACATGGAGGATTATTGTTGCATTGCGCGTACGGCAGGGAAGCACTATAGAGAAAGAAATGCCATGGCAATAAGGGAAGTGATCTAGGAAGTTTCCCACTCGGAAGAAGTAGCGTCGTCGGCAAGCGAGATCATCTAAGAAGAGGAGCTCCGGAGCCGAAGCTTTATAGCATATCGTCCGTTTACAGTACTCGACATCGAGGTGGCAGCAGCATGGCGGATAGTCCTGCAGCGAAGCTAAGTGAGGCGGTTGCTCACGTCGGGGCCGGTAGTCAGATTCCGAGGCCCCTGTCGCGCAGAGAACATGGAGGCTCGGGGGCTGTGGACCCCTATCGTCCGGAGCAGGGCGATGCAGCGGCGGCTGGCGATGTGCCGGGAGTTCGTTCGAAAAAGGGAGCGACACTTCGACCTATCCGGCCCAAGGAGCCGGTATTCGAAAACCCAAGACGAAGCGAGCAATTAGCAGCATCGATTGCATGGGGTTTGCCCAAGCGCCATCGGGGACGGAGTTGGCGGGTAAAGGGAGTACCAGATCGGGGTATGGACGATGGCGCGGCAGGGCTAGCGGACGCTGAGCCGAGCGGACAGAGGCAGCCCAGGAGGCGGGAGAAGAGAGCCCGTCTTCGTAGCCGGGACGAGCGCCCGACAAAACAGGTTCGAAGTGGAATCGGAAGGCAGAGGAGACGGGAGCTGCAGGCCGAGGACCTGGCGAGTGTGCTGGGCTTTTTGGAGGAAGACTTTGCCATAAAGGAGAGATTGTCTAACGATCAGACGTGGTGTACGCCAATATCGCTCGAGAGGAAGGTGTCGACGGTGCGAGACTTTTATTGCAGAAGCAATTATAGAACTGCAATCCCAAGATCGCCCTAAATATGCAGAGACCGCGAGGAAATACAATATCGACAAATCCACGCTGTGGTGCCGCTTCAAAGGCAAAACAGCCTCAAATCACGACGCGAACTCTTACTCGCGACAGAAACTCACCAGCGCGCAGGAGGAGATTCTTATTGGGCACGTCAATAAGCTGACCGACCGTGGTATCCCGCCTACCCTCAGATGTTGAAGAATATCGCCGAGGAAATCGCAGGGACAGAGCTTGGTGTCAACTGGGTGAGCCGCTTCCGCAAGCGACACCATGACCGTCTTTCGAGCTTGTATTTGCGCACCATAGATCATCAGCGGAAGGCTGTTGATAATTCCAGGCATTTCCAAAACTTCTTCAATTTAGTAAGACTGCTTTTTATTGCCATTTCAAGGGGTATACTGCCGACAATACTCGGTCAAATGCCGTAAAGTCGCCATTTCTGACCGAATCCAACTAGCTCCGCGAAAAGATCGAAAAGTACAACATCAGTCCCTCAAATGTTTATAATTTTGACGAGAAGGGATTCCAAATTGGTCTCTCTCGCTCCGCCAAGCGAGTTGCCCCCCGAGAAACCCTCAGGCGCGGAAAACTGGTCGGGGCAAGCCAAGACGGGAACCGGGAGTTCATCACGCTGATCGCTGCCATATGTGCAGATTATTCGTTCCTGCCACCGGCCCTCATTTACAAAGGGGAGTCAAAAGACTTCCAAGATACTTGGCTTGAGGATTTTGACCATTCCAGCGAAGTAGCCTTCTTCGGCAGTACGGAAAACGGCTGGAGTTGTGACGCACTGGGTTTACACTGGCTTCAGCGCATATTTGACTGCCATACGAAGCAAAGGCTGGTCGTGCCTACCGTCTCTTAATTTTAGACGGTCACAATAGTCACATTAACCTGAAATTCATTGACTATGCCGATCGGAATCGAATTCTCATTGCTGTGTTGCCATCGCACTCAACTCATCGGCTTCAACCACTCGATGTTGGCCTGTTTTCCGCACTCTCCACCTATTATGCTCAAGGTTCCGACCAGCTGATGTCCATTGGATGGGGGTTAATTCGCCTTAACAAACGGAACTTTTGGCCACTCTTTCGTGATGCGTGGAACCAGGCATTTACGGCCAAAAATATCGAGGCTGGTTGGCGGGCCACAGGAATCCATCCACTCAACCCCGGCAAAGTATGGCTCTAGTTAATGGGCCCTTGGTTTTCCTTATTGGGCCCTTGAAGTGTGGCTGAGACTGTGGCGGACTGTCAACCCTACTTTGCGGCTTTGCCTGCGCGCGCGCCGGTGCACACATTTGCCGGCGTCATAGGCCCGACAGCATGACTGCATTTCACGTAGAGCCTTTGAACGTAGGGTGCTTAATGGAATGTAAATGAGGAGGCAATTGAACAGGTTCGTGGAGCATACGCACCAGGCTACGTCGCTACAACAATACAGTCCCTAATTAGGCTCTCGCTCCATAATGCGGCTACGGCGCTCTCTGCATCGTCAGATGCCTCATCCATTGCGTCTTCGAGCTCAGCGTCAACATCACCCTCGTCATCCACCCAAGCTGGTATCTCTTCAAGTTCAACGTCGTCAGGATCGTCTTCGAGGGCCGTAATCGATCGATATGATGCACGAGGCATCTCGGTCCCGGGTTCGTATGTATCTGGCTTGCTTGAAGGTCAGTTTCTCCAAGTGTTCAGCGTCCTACCTTCAGCGACTGAAGCGCGGTCTGCCAAGTTGAAGGCTGTTGTGTTAGTATGATTATCCCTTGATCAGTACATGGTCCCTCGTCGGTCCATACTGAAGCGTTTCGTTGCCAATGCGAACTGTATTGTCGCCCGTACAGCCCCCATATCGGGCTGCCACTTGTTATCGTCTGACTCTGCCTTGCCTCCTAGGAAGAAAGACAGGTTTCCCATCTTTCCGCGAGCATATCGAAGCATGATTTCTCGTTGTACCGTCCATCTTCTGCATCGAAAGAGGAAATGTTCCACCGTTTCCGCCGACTGTCCGCAGGTGCACTCATCCGATTCCACTGCCCCGATTTTGCAAAGGTAGCCATTCAGTCGTGATTTGCCAGTTCGAAGTTGTACCAACACTTCAGATTCCTTTCTAGTTAGCTCGTCGTACATCTTGCGGGTGTGCTTGCCCGGCAATGCTTTATCGATGCGCTTTGAGTGCTTTCCAACCCTTTCTGGGATCTGACGAACGCGAGTGTGTTCGTTGAGCAGCAGTCGTAACGTCGTTGCTCTTGCCTGAAACGTTGCTGGTTCAGCGGTGCATTCATCTCGCGTCGCTCTTTTCGCCTGCATTTTGGCCAGTGGCCCAAGGGTGAACTCCTCATTCTTTGCAGGCACCCAACGAAGTCTGACTCTGCAGCCTCTTTTCGCAAGATACTCAACAGATCCGTATATCGCCCGTATCGTGCACTGACCAGACTGCTGCCGCGGTCGCCCGATGACTTGCAGGACAGAGCGGTTGCTTGTCACAACTGTGAGCTGTCGGTCATGAAGGCCTAGAGGTACACACCTCAGGGCCATGGCGATTGCCTCGAGTCCTGCTGTTTCGGATTTCGACAGACCGCGCTTCAGCTGCTGAAGGTAGGACGCTGAACACTTGGAGAAATTGGCCTTCAAGCAGGCCTGTCACGGAGAGAGTAGCGGCGAGGTTGGTGTAGCGTATGCTGACCCGTGGGGCTTAAGGTGTTACGCATTAATATATTGAAATGTCAGTAGCTTTTACGTCTAGGCCCTATAGGAGAAATCCTCCGGGTGAAATACACATACATACATACATACAAGATGGTGCTCACCACCAAAATACCCACACCACCACAATACCCAGAATTTCGACCCTTCGACCTAGAATCGCTTCAACCACCGCCTACCACGCTTGGAATCGCACACCTCTGCTCTCCCCAGCCTTCCAGAAGCCCTCCACTTCCGCGACTCTTTTGCTGCCTCCTCAAACCATCTCTTGCGTGCATTGTGCGCTCTTTTCTCCGCCCCTTCCACTACCTTCCTCGCCTTAGCAGCCTGGTCTTCTTCCCTTTGCTGCACCATTTCCCGCCCTTGAGCTACTGACAATGCTCCTCCCGATCGCAATTGCATATTCTTCATACTCTTACGCTGTTGTTGTATGCGCTCCGCCATTTTGGTCCGTCTCAAGTCTCTCTTAGTCTGCACGAGCTCCGTGGCCAGAGACAGCGATCCTCGAATAAATCGACCGAGATCGTAAGAAAAGTTGAGATCCAGGCCTTCGTTCTCGTCAAGCGCAGTCTCCAAGCTCTCAGCCACCTTGTTTATTTGCCGTAGCGTCAATGGTGTTTCGAACGGAGAAGATCGTGGCCCTGAATGGGGAGGTGTGGGTGTGGGTGTTCTCTTGGCTTGACGAGTTTCCAACGCCTGAAGCACCACCTGGGGATCAAATGGCCAGATTCCAGTCTTTCGGAACGCGGAGCGTATAGTACTTTCTTTGAAGGCTTGTGCTCGCACTTGCTGGATGCAGGAGAGAAACTCGAGTTTGGATATGTTGATGAGGCCATCTCGAACCATGACATCCAAGGCCTTGGCGTGATAGTGCTTCAGAGGCTGGAATACCACAACATCCAAAGGTTGAAGTACGTGCGTAAGGTTCGGCGGCATACCAAAAGGAATGATACCATGGTCGTCGCAGTACTGGATGAATTGCCTCGTGTGGTGAGAGCCATGGCCATCGAGAATGAGCAGACGCTTTGAGCTTCGTGAGCTCTTTGCTGAGTGCTTGTCGAAATGCTGGAGCCATTCCAAGCTTATCACGTCATTCGAGTAGCCAGTGGGCGTAGGTCGAATAACCGTCTCGGGATCGGGCTCGGATATTTCATACCACGAGGCCATGTGCATCTGGCCGGAGAGAATCAAGAAAGCCGGGATGACGAGTCCATTGGCGGATATAGCCTCAATCGCAGTGGCCGACTCCCGATTTTCAGGGATACCAAAATAATGAGCTCTCAGCCGTTTCGTTACAATCAGTTGGTCTTTGCCCACCCCAATGCGAAAGCTAGTCTCGTCCATGTTCCAGATGTCCTCAGGAGGTATACCATTCCCTTGGATGACCTGTCGGAGACACTCAAAGTACTGGCTGACTCGTGTAAGGTCTTCAGAAGCTTGGCGCTCTGCATGAAGCCTCTTTTGGCGCCTTTTGGAATAGCCGTGACGCTTGAGAAAGCGAGAAGTCCAGTTGGGTCCGACAGGTGGGGAATCGGTCTGGCCAGACCGCTCACGCAAAATGTGATTTGCTGCATCAGTCACGAAGTTCACGCGGACTGCGAGGTTGATGCGGTCGAGACGATCGATGTAGCGACACAGAGCCTTCTCTTCTGGCTGCGAAAGCCTCGTGTTCCTGGCTCGCTGGCCAAGTTTAGGAGATCGGCCCTGAAGACGACTGGATCGAAGGTAGTAACCGCAGTCAGGAAATCGCTGATCCCGGCATGCCCTTGAAGCTCGGGGATCTTGCGTCTCTCCCCTTCAAGCCTGGCCTTGTTCCACGCGACGAGCCAGTCTTCTGGTTTCACCCTTTTGGTTTGACCGAGGACTTGGCGGTATTTCAAACGCGCCTCGTCAAATTGCTCTGTGTCGGTGGGTGCAAGGCTCGACTTTAGCTCGCGGACGATGGTGCGGAGGTTCGACTTGGACGAGGTATTGCCGAGGTAGGTCTTGTCAACAGTTGATCGGACCCAAGCGGCAAGGTCAGTGTAGGCACGTTGATGGTTCGAGTATGTCACCATCTTGACCTTGTATTCCGCCTGGAGACGAGCGATCCGATTCCATTGTGCATCGGTCAGGTCTTCGGCCAGTTCGGGGCGCGGTCCAGCAGTACCAGGATTTACACGGAATGCTTGCGTCCAAGTGGCAGTTGCATCCCTGAGGTGTTTTGCGAGCAGTTGCTCAGAAGTCATGGGCTCCTGCAGCTCGACCAGGCCTGGTCCTTCCTGATCGATGTCGACATGCTTGAGGATCTTGGAGGTCTCGGCCCTAGCGACGAAGTCTTCGTACCAGTCGGCCCAGTCGGACGGTTTGCAGAGGATCACTTCGGACTTGGCGGCCACCCTGTTTGGTGACCAATTGGTGACTCTGGCTCCAATGGCGGCTTCGTGCTTGATGCTGAGAATCTGCTGTGATGTGATTGAAAGTGTGCCGCAAAAGTGGTTGATCTCATGCGGCGGTCGCAATCAGTTATGATGAGCGCCTGAGCGTCTACCGGGCTCATAACTGTCACGTAATTGGCGTCACATCAGGGAGGTTTCCACAACGATCAAGAAGAGTGCACGACGAAGAGGGAAATTGACTGATGACAATAATCTGGGAATTATCTAAAGAACAAAGGGGAAGGAACGAATGCACGCATGATTTGCGATGTTTTTATGTTCACCGTGCACGGACATCTGCGATAGTTGCCACAACAACTATCGCGTAGCCGTTGGACGTGACAGGATGCTGTAGGTAGTTACATCTGTCGCGCAAACGCAAGGCCCTGGTCGGACGGGGCAGGCATGCAAGCGAGAGCCAGATGCAAGTAGGGACTGTTCGGCAATTGCCTCGACAATCTCGACACGGGCTTCGAGACGAGAGAAGAAGAGGGAAAGGGCAGAGCCGTGAGGTGACGTCTTTGTACGAGGCGAGATGCCGAGGCGGTCTGGACTCTGGAGACTGCCGGTGGTAGCGAGGGGTGTGGTGGTGGTGGAGGGTACATGCCTAGGTAGGTAGTAGAGGGTGCAGGGGCAGCGGGCAGCTGGCAGAGAGAGGGAGCTGAGAAATGACGACGATGACGACGACAGCGTGTGTGCGTACTCGGCGGAGGTGCATGGTCTCTGCATGAACATGTAGTCTGATGATGGGTGGAATGTGCAGCTATGGCTGTGTGTCCATGCGCATTGGCTCCTGCGCGGCTTTCTTGTGGCACCAACACGTATTAGATTGCCAGTATAGACGGCCATCCTTCGGGAAACTTTTAGTTAGACCATCGCAGGAGCAGTGCTACCAGAGCGGAGGCTGCTGGTGGCCATTCGTTTATGACCAACAATGTGGACGCCGCCCGTTCCTGCATACCCGGAGTGTAGGGCTGCATCCACATTCGCTACTTGAGGGGCTAGAATCCGCGGACAGACTGGGCAGTGTTTCGACGCCACTGCGTAGTTGTAACTCACATGTATCGATTTCCTTAACGGGATTAGTACCGTATAAGGGAGTCACATGTTGGTGCCTAGATGCACAATGCCGCAGCGCACCTGCATACACGAATCCGCCTTCTTGTCACTTCGTTGTACTAGGGGGGCCGTAAAGTTGGCAACTTTACGGCCCCCCTAGTACTGTACACTCGTCCACTACTGTAGAGGAGAGTAGAATGTGGCGGAGCTACGGTCTGCATCTGCAAGGCCGCATGACTCACACCCATGCCGGCCAGGGAACAGTTGGAAGCAACATCCCACCCCTTCGTCCTATTGTGGCTGTTCTACCCCGGACGCATGTGGAGCTGTCGTGCAAAAGCCGTCAACCAACCTGCAGCAACACGTCCACAACCTTCCTCACATTGAGAACCAACAGCGATATTTGGAGCAACGCGGAACTGGATGCCGATTTCGTCCGTTTGCCCGCCGCGCCAGGACAGCATCGCTGTTGGTGTGCATGTACCTAAAAGTAGAGTTCTTGAAATGCATCTCGAAGCGGACGCGGTCTGGCAAGGTGGATTCTGGCTCTTGGTCACTTTCTCACCAACGACTCGAGACCCCGCGTCGCCCGCCTTCATTTCCTTCCTCTTCTCATCTTCTGTTATACTTTACAGTACCCCGTCACTATCATCTCTACATTGCCCCCATCCGCACAGCCGTCGGCGGGAGGCCAGGCGCCCGCACCCTTAGCTGGCCATTGACACGCTCATGTTATGATTGAATCAACGGCGTCTCAGCTCCTGACACAGCAAGTCATATGGACAATACTGTATGTGACGATTGAGCAATGATTGGACAGAATGTCCCTCACTAATGAGCTGTTGCACTGTTGTGAAGCCAGAATCGCCCGCGGGTACGGTCACGGGCACCCGCCTCGGAGACGACCAGGGGCTTCCACTTCGTCGGGATGCCGGCCGGGACGATCCTGCTGACGCCCATCAGCGTCAAGATCACGGCGCAGCGGAAGCGGCCGTGGCAGCGCAACGACGTCAGCCGGAGGGGCCTGCCGTGCGCGGCGGCCTTCGCCTGCACAGACTATAAGGTGCAGGGCGGGACGCTGGAGCGCGTGGCGCTGGAGCTGCGGGGGGCGAGGATGACGACGGTCGAGGGGCGGGCGGTGCCGTCGCCGTGCGACCCGTACAGCCTGTACGTGCAGCTGTCGCGGTGCCCGACGCTCGACGGCATCATGCTCGTATCGGAGGTGCGGAGCGGGACCCAGTGGGGAACCGGGTGCCCGAGGAGATGACGGCAGCGCAGGCCCGGCTAGAGGAGCTTAGCAGGCAGACGACGCGGGAGGCGGCCGACTGGCTCAGCGGGTAACGCGGGCGGCGTAGGCGTCTCGCTCGCAGCGGAGGAGATCCTGCCCTTAGGACGACTATCCTAGCACATAATCAGGGGGCGAAGATATCATCGGAGGTATGGGAAGGCGCAACGTAGGTAGATGGAAACAAGATCAAAAATCCGAAGAGTAGTTAACGGACATGGACGGGTGCGTGCCCAATATAGCCGAACCGCAAAAAGGCGGAGATTTACATTTTCGCACACATATACAGTACAGCCAAGAGGAAGAGAGACAGGCCAGCCGACTCTAGGCTAGCGGTAGCTACCGACGTAAAAGGAGTATAGGTCAAGGGCCAGGAGGACGGGCGAAGGGGGCGACGAGGACAAGTGCGATGTATTTTCAGACCAATAAGAGGAGAGCAAGCCGACGAATCAGATGGCGGCAGCTGACGAATCAGAGGAAAGACACCGGCAACCGACGAATCAGAGGGCGGCAACCGACGAATCAGAGGGCGGCAGACGACGAATCAGAGAAGAGGCGCCTGGCAACCGACGAATCAGAGGTTGGCAGCCGACGAATCAGAGGGCGGCGTTTGGGGGGGGAACAGGAGAAGGCTCGCCTCGGGCTCGCGCAAAGAGCCTTGAGGAACGAAAGTTTGTGGTTGAAATTTGAGGCTGAAAAGGGGGATTTATCTGTCTGTTTGATGTTTCAAGGTTTTGTGGTGGTTGCGGCATCACTGGCACGGAAAAAATCTTTCCCGCAGTAGCTTGCATCGCGCGACGGGTGATTGGGGGCGAAGAAGATCGGGCGCCAAGCTGTCAGTCATGTCATGCAGCAATACGTGTGAATAAAAAGCAAGGAGAAGATGAGAAGTGATGGAGGAAGAGGGGATAAAATAAGGCGTCGAGAATTCGGCCTTGAGTGGCCTACTTGCTGTTCTAGTGTTCTTCGCATCATATGCGTCAGTTAATCATAAAAAAAAACTACAGAGTATCTAAACATCTAGAACACAAATTATGGCGATGTCTACGGTCCGAGTCGAGTTCATATGCCAATTTGGCGCCAGGCAACTCATCCACAACCATAGCATTCCTCGGAGCCTTGTGACGGAGGCAAACGGGGCCGGCGGAGATGCTGAATACAACGAGCGATTTACACAGTCCATGATGCCTCTTATGAAGGAGCACGAATCAGCATGTCGCAGTGCGTCGGGTGCTTTCTGCGAATGCTGCGGGCGGTTTGCGACAGACATCTTACAGAGTCCGATATCGATGCTGCACGCAGACGAGGCTCGCATTGTGGTTTGGGTCACATCGTTATGTGGAAGAGGGCAGTGCGAGGTAGAAATGAGACAGGAAATGCAACTAGTAATGGGGGAAATGCGGCAGGAGGAGGAAAGGCGAGATAAGTTTCTAGGACGCAATAGGTGCATGGAGGTCAGGCTGTGCAAAATATGCGGGACGACCGTGGGAGTGAAGCGGTGCAGTAGATGTCACGCAGTGGCATACTGCGGCACGGAGCATCAAAAGGCGGACTGGAAGGTTCACAAGAAGGCGTGCGTGCCGAGAGGCTCAACAGACACGGAAAGTGTGGAAGGAAACGATGACTAGAAGCGAGGTCGTAGAGGGTGGTGGAATATAGCAGTTCGGTTTTTATATGTGCTGAGAAGTAAGAGCACATAGTAAGACAAAGGGTAAAATTGGGTTGTTCTCTGCATAAAGAATATATTAGCAGACTTTTATTTCACATAACTAGATAAGATATATAGCTATTCCGTTTCTGCTGTTTTTCTACTTAGGTGACGGTTTCGAAGCGGCCTAGTCGGCGAGTCTGATGTGCAGGCGACAATTGAATTAAGGAAGATGCCGAGGCATTCTCCGAGGCAGGAGTCTGACCGGCTGTTTCGGATCGCTAATATGGGAAGCCGCTAAGAGGGAGCAGGATCGGGTAGCAGAGCCCCCAGTATCGGTAGAAGACGAAGGTTTCGGGGTCGTCAGGCGCGGTCTCTTCGTCGGCGTGCCGGCAGGGTCAGGACAGGGACGCTTCTGCGAGGGTGTAGCTAGGTCGGCCAAAGTAGAAGTTGAAGCAGAAGTTATTAAAGCCGAAGGTGGAGGACTTGGCGGAGGGTACCAGGTGTTGCCACGGAGTAAGAGGCAGCGAGTATATCCCGGAAAGCGGCCGAAGCGGAGGACGGTTTTTCCTTTAGTGGTGTCGAGATAGCCGAGGACGAGGCAGCCGCAGTGCTGGTGGCCTTATCGAGAAAAGTCCAAGAATCCGGGACGACGATAAAGACATAGTCTCGGTCGGAGCCTGGGGGATGAATCATGACGCGGTGACTGAGCAGGCCAGCAACTTTGCCTGTGCAGGTAAAGGGATGCTGGGCTGAAAGTAAGAGTCCTTCCTCTCGGCCATCTTCTTACATAGTATAGCCCAGGGTTAGCGTGAATGGGGAAGATAACGAAGACCTCGAATTGGTGGAAGCCTCTGAAAGGGATCTTGTCGGGAATGCCAGGAGCTAGATACGTAGAGAGCTGGACGAAGCCGCAGCAATTTAGCTGGGCGGCGTCTAGGTCTGGCAGAAGGTCTTGTCGTAGCAGGGAGTGACCCGGGCCAAGGATGAAGCCGGTGAAGGAAACGATAGGCGGGATGCAAGGGAAGTTATCCATAGAGGCGAAGAGTCTAGGGAGGATGCTAAGAGGACAAATCAGCCGGACCTCTCGCCCGAGAGCCGAGAGCGGTACGCGCTAGGGTAAAATGGCACGCCTTACGGCTGGTAACCCTGGTCGCGGACGACGAGGGCGGGCATGGTGTAGATAAGGGTGTCGCCAGTTTCAGACTCTAGGCCGTCGCGCTGCTTAACCTCCCAGGCAAGGGCGTAGGGTGGACGCGGCCGTTCATAAAAACCATTCCTCAGACCATTCGGAGGCGATAACAGGCTGGTTGTAAATAGAGATTGAGACTGAAGAAGATGGATGTCGGCGAGTCGTCGGTATCCAATCGGAGCGGCGCATATTCCGCGGTGAGCAACCATGAAGGAGGTGGCAAAAAGATGCGGGCAATGGTCTCGGCGTTGAGACCTCTAACGCGATGCTCGTCCTGATGGGGAAATCTCGAGGGGCAGTCGGGCTGGACGAAGAACATCATAGACATATCACCACCCGCGCCTTTCTGGCTATCGAGCGGCTTTCGAAGGTGTGGTGGAGGTAGCGGTGACGAGGAAGACATCGTGCATATCTATGTTGGCTAATAAGTGGTTTGTGCGCCTAGAAAAATGATCGGTATAAGTCGTTAAGAAGGAAGTAAGAGGTGGAGAATAAAGCGGCCTTTTTTATAAATCCAAGGTATTATAGAACCAGTGGGAGAGCGAGAAGCTTTGCCATGGCAAGTTTGAATTTTGATAAGGATGCGTGGTGCATAATAGCTCTTGACCCGACGAGTAAGCCAACGAGTAAGCCACACGAAGAGGCGGTGTGGAGAAGGTTGCCTGTTAGAATGGAACGGAAATTTAGGGAAGACTGTCTTGGGAGCTATCGTGCCGGGTGAGCTGAATCAGATGGCAGGGCTATTCCTTTTTCCGTTGCAGCATAGGTAGCGAAGAAAAAGAAAGTCTAATTTGATGTTCCTTGAAACGCATACCTGCAACGACAGATTCGGAAGATGCGGAGGAGAGCAGAGTAGTAGAAGGCGGCCTTAGATGGAGTTGCGGTGTGTATTCCTATGCATGGGCTGGTCGAGGCCGTCCGGAAAGGATGGACGGACGGTGGTAGGGTGGTGAAGGGGGGAGAAAGGGGGCTCGCGGATAAGCATTGCCGCGTCGGCTCAGTGCTAAAAGATCACAGGGTTTAGTTATAGGAAGGATTGGTAGGAAAACGCCAACACGGCGGACCATTATTGTTAGGAGGCGAGATAATATTGAAGAAAGATCCGGGGGCAAACTTTTATGGTCCATCATCCGTGTGCAGAGCCGCGGCGTTAAGATAGCATCGACATGGGAGAGAGTTCTCGCTGCGAGGTTCGGTCGGTAGAGGGAGAAGGTGAAATGGTGATGGGAGCAGCGGCCGTTGCTGCGACGAGAAATGTCGCTGCGGCGAGATTGAGCGCAATGGATGATTCGCTAAAGCGGGTGTCGGGATATAAGAGACAGGCAAACGTGGCATCCAGGTTTCGGCCCATCATGGCCAAGCAGGGGCTGGTCGAGGAGGTCTCGCGAGGAGAACAAGCGGAAGCGCTTAAAAGAGCGTTGCCCAAGAGAAGCCGGCGAGGCGGTCGGCGGCCAAAGGGAAAATCAGTATTGAACGATGGCATTTCGAAGGCGGCCCCATCACGACTTTCAGCACCGATAAACGTGGGTGATGATAAGCTAGTGAGCATGGAGACGGACGTTGCCATGCAAGGGTTGGGTGCGAAGCCGTGTGGAGGGAGTCTTGTGCCGTCCGTCGGCGGTGTGTTGCAGCGCGAGGGTAACGACCCGATCACCTACCGGCACCTCTTGCCCAAGGAGGGGAGGGCTGGGGATGATGAGAGGAGGGCAGCGACCACGGTAGGTCTGGAAGCACCATGTCCTCCGGAAGCCTTAGTCGGGCGAGAAGACGGCCTAGACAGTGGGAGATGGTCCGGCGTGGCCGTAAGTGGCTCTGAGACGGTTAGGCGACCCAGCGGTAGCGAACTGACGAGGCCGAAAGGTCTCGTCGAGCGGACAGGTGGTGTGGGAAAACGCCGGGTTGGAAGACCGATAACGGTGATGAGATTTCGGCTGGAAGGCGGGAGCCAGCATTCGCCAAGGCCCATCCGATCCAAAGAGATGGAGAATACGGCCGGACCTGCGCCTGCTCTTATGAGATTTCGATTGGAAGGCGGGAGCCAGCATTCGCCAAGGCCCATCCGACCCAAAGAGATGGAGAATACGGCCGGACCTGCGCCTGCTCTTATGAGATTTCGATTGGAAGGCGGGAGCCAGCATTCGCCAAGGCCCATCCGACCCAAAGAGATGGAGAGTGCGCCGGGAGCTGCGCCTGCCCCCCCTGAGGAGGCCGGATTATCACACGCCGGGATCGCGGAGGGCGTGCAGATCGGCACGTCTGGAAAGCGGAACGATAGGGCGCGGACGAGGCAGAAGGGGAGCGAGGGATACTCTAGCAGCCCGGGAAGGAAAGGTCGGCCGGCAACGGTCGACAGTGTCCGGCCTATCGAGGCGAAGCAGGCGCTGGCGGCCGAGGAGATCTCACGAAGAGAACAAGGGATGCATTGAAAGAGCGTTGCCCAGGGAAGTCGGCCAGGTGGTGGGCTGCGGGAAAGGCGATGCACGTGAATGGCGCCGCCTTGAAGGGAGGCGAGCGCGACGCTCGACACCGATAAATGTGCGTGAGAGGCGTACGGACGAAGGACCGAAGCGGGTGTTGGGCGACGAAAGTCAAGCGGACCCGGCACCTAGGTTCCGGCCTATCCAGGCGAAGCAGGCGCCGGCGTCCGAGGAGGGTTCACGAAGAGAGCGGGTAGAAGCAGTCGAAAGAGCGACGCCTCTAGGAAGCCGGCGAGGCAGTCGGCCGCGGATAATAGGACGCGCGTCCATGGTGCTTCTTCAAAGGGAGGGCAAGCGCGATGTTTAACAAGATTTCGGCTAGAGAATGTAAGCCAGCACTCGCCGCAACCCACCGTCGCCCGGCCAATTCAAGCGAAAGCGATAGGAGACAGAGCAGGAGATCTGCAGTCATCCGGGCGGTTATTACCACGGCCGTCACGCCTGGCAGGGCAGGATCGGCCGGCAGGGGCGGTCGGGATTTCGTCCACGGCCGTCAGGGAGCCCCTCGTTCAGCCAGTCGAGCCTAAAGAGCCGGGAGATGGAGCCGGAGATACACAATCACCCGGACGGTTGCTACCACGACCACCACGCGGGGCAGCGGTGGGAGAGGATCGGCCGAGGCGAGTCGAGGCGGTAGCGAGATCTTCGGAGTCCGTGGAGCAGAGAAAGAGGATCGGCGAGCCCGACCGAGACGAGCTGCCAAGGAAACGTATTCGAGGCGGCCGTCGGAGGCAGAGGAGAAGTGAGCTACAGGCGGAAGATCTAGCCAGCGTCCTACGTTACCTGGAAGACGAATTTGCCGCCAAGGAGGCTGTCCAAGGAGCAAACTTGGTGCACACCAGTGCCGCATGAGAGGAAGGTATCGACGGTGCGAAGTTTTTATCGGGCGTTCCACGATGCGGCCACCTTGCCGATACGGGCATGTATGCTGTGCTACCGCAAGCGTTCGAGGACGGAGCTTAAGGAGATGCCGTGGGATCGGTGGCTGTCGAGCCCCGTCCCTAAGGGTGAGGGCTCGCCGTTCGCGTGTCGGAGTTGCTTCCGTGAGGGCGAGTCTATCGTGGTCTGCGCGGAGTGTCATCGAGGGCTGGCGCGTGGGGTGCTGTCGCCGGCGGCCCAACTTCATTGTCGCCTCGGTTGTGAGCATATGCTCCCTGATGAGCTCAAGGGGCTCACGCCAGTGGAGGAGAAGCTGATTGCGCTAAACTCGTGTTACGGGTTCGTCACGAGGTATAGCGTCCCGGGCGGCCAGAAGCAGACGCTGAGGTACCCCAAGCACGTCAAGGGCCACATCACGGTGTTTCCGAACAATGTACAAGAATTGGTGACGAAAGTGCTGCCGCACCCTCTCCTGCAGGTGATGGACGAGATCCACATCTCGTGGCAGGGGGCGGTAAAGCCGACACCGAGCGACCTATCGAGTCTCTTGTCTGTGAGGCGGCGCGTTGTCGAGAGGGCTCTTGTTTGGCTGAAGAGAAACAACCCACTATGCCGAGATCGAGATCGACGCGGCTGAGATGGAGAGCTGGGGAGAGTCGGCCCACGGGGTGCCGCCGTCGGTGTACGGGCGCCTGGAGCGGAACGAGCCGTCGGCATGGGAGAAGACGCGGACGGCGCATATCGTGCCGCCCACGGAGCGGGCCATGGACGACGAGGGCGCGGTAGAGATCGAAGAAGTCCTGTCTCTGCTCAACCAAGGGAGGAAGCGCGACGATTCTCGAGGACGACGAGCCAGAGTCAATCGAGGTAGACGAGGCGCGTGGTCAGAGCGGCGACGAGGCTAATCACGATGCGGAGACGATCAACGAGGTAACCTCGTCGGGAATGTTTGCGTTAGACGGGCCGCCCGACGTCGCCGACGTGGATAAATTGCGCTTCGCATGTGATGCCGTCCGCGAAGGGCGGGCGACGACGGCGGCGCGGGTCCGAGGACGTGGGTGGAAACCTCGGCAAGGGGCAGCCAGGGCACGCCGATGGTTCCGAACCGTATATAGGCGTTCGCCGCGGCGATGACTTCGCCGACTCGTTCGAAGCCTCCTTTTCGCGAAGACCTTTCCACGCTGTTGCCATTTGGCGTCGGAGGGCCGCGACCGGTCGAAGAAGCAGCCGTACAACTAGGCAGAGGCACCGCCGACATACGCGAGCGGGAGGCCGCGACGCGAGAGCTCGTGTCGTCTCGGAACATGAGCCTTCGGACCTGGGCCGACACGGTGTTACGACGCCACGGTGGCCGGTTCGCGACGCACCACATCTTCGCCTTCCTCGTCTTTAATATAGGCGTGCGGTCGAGGAACCGCCGCGTCAGCATGCTAAGCGTGACGAGGAAGAACTTCCGCAAGGTGGAGCGCATCGTACGGTCGCTAACCGCGGACGGATTGGCGGCGGCCAGGGCCGAGCTAGAGAGCACAGGCAAGACGACCGATGATGCGGTGAAGGAGCTGCTCAGGAGCCTTTCGCTGTATGGGTATCGTCAGCCCATGTCGAGGGAGGTCCGTCTCGGGATGCGGCATAGGATCCTGGCGCTCATCGTCCGTTACGGCGTGCCCGCCATCTGGTTCACGATCAACCCAAACGACATCACGAATCCGGTAAAGCTCCGACTAGCAGCGTACCGCGCGCGCGACCCGAAGCGGCCGAGGAGTTCCTACGAAGCCTCGATAAGGCGTTCAAACGTGTGCGGCTGTCCGTGTCCGACCCGATGAGCTCGGCCGTCTTCTTCCACCGCGAGATGACGCTGTTCTTCGAGCATTACGTCAATGCCGGGAGTCGGTCTTCGGCCGCGTCAGCCAGTATTATGGCGCCGTGAAACGAACGAGCGAGGCTCCTCCACGTGCACGGGCTGCTCTGGCTCGAGGGAAACGCCCACCTCAGCTCGATGCTTGCCGACTCAGACGGCGGGGAACAAGCGGCATACCGCGAGCGAATCGTCCGCTACGTCGATAGTGTCTTCAGCGAGGTAAGGAACGGCGGGGGCGTCGTACGAAATAGTCGTGGGAGAAGAGGACGCGGGCTGACGCGGGAAACTAGGACCTGGACCAGGAAGGGTTCTGCGCCGTCGAGGCAGAGCGTTCGGTGACGTCCGATATCTCGTCCCTGCTGAACAGGGCCGATCAGTTCTCGGCCTCGTTCGAGGAGGAAGCCAACTTCTGCGCCGGCGCGACCCAGATCCATACCCACAGCCCGACATGCGTCAAGTACTCCCTCGGCAGCAAGGGGCGGAAGGGCGCCGACCTCTGTCGCTTTAAGGCACCGTGGGAGCGGGTCGAGGAGACGACCCTGTCAGCGGACGGCGTGCTGCGGATCCGCAGAACACATCCCATGGTGAACCGGTGGAACAAGGCCATCGCCGTCGGGCCCGTCACAACCACGACATTTCCTTTATAGCGACGCAGCGGAAGACCATGGCGCTCGTCTACTACGTGACCAATTACGCGACTAAGGTGGAGGACCCGACGTGGAAGCGCGTCGCCGCCGCCGCCGAACTGCTGCCCGTCGTGTCGGCCGGTAGTCAGCCGGGTGCCGGGGATGACGTAAGTAGCGGCGTCGTCGGCGACGGCGATGGAAGGAAAAACAAGACGCGGCAGTTTCTCATGAGAGTGGCGAATCGGGTGTTCACGGAGCGGGCGCTGTCGCAAGTCGAGGTCGTCGCCCATCTGCTGGGACACCCGAGCGAGTTCTCGGAAGCAGCGCCTGGGCGTACCTGAACGTGTCGGTGCTATACTGGCACGTCTCGAGGCTCTGGCGACACCTTCGGCAGCAGAGCGGCACCGCGGCGGTCGAAGACGTGTCCGTCGCGGACGAGTCGGTCGTCGTCGAACAAGCAGGCGAGAGGATCAGTTTCGCCGAGGCTATCATCATCGCGGACATGTCCTACGAGGCTTGTGCCTATACGACTATGTTTCGCTCGTCAGGCTCCAACGCGTCGGCAAGGCCGGCTGCTCCGGCGGCTGGGAGAGGTGCCGTTCGAGAGCGGCTGGGTGGCCGGTAAAGACTGGGTCCAGGTGCTAAGGCGGCCGGAAAGTACGCCGTCGTCTGCCTCGACGGCTACCTAAGCAAGGGTTTCGAGCAGGACGACGAGGAATCGGCTCATCGCAGGTAAGTGCGGGCGGGCAAAGTGGCCGAGTGAAGAGAGGTTGCGACGCCGCGGGGGCTGGCTGACTTACACTTATTGTGCCGTCGCAGGGCTGCCGTCCAGCATCTTGCGCTATTTGTGCCGTGGGAAGCCTTTCTCGGCGAAGAAGAAGGGACATCAATGAGATATGGAGGCGGGCGCGAGAGCTGCCGCCGAGAATCTCGTGCCTCGTCGACAACGTTCAACTGCTCCGGCGGTCCGCCGAGGACGCGAGGCGAGACGCCAAGCAGTGGGCGGCCTCGGGCGGCGCCGGGGATTGCGCCGGCGCTCTCGGCGAGGCGGGGAGGGGAGGAGGGGGCGACACCTGGGGACGACGACGCGGCCTCGGCGTACCAGGCCGACAACGTCGGAAAGGCAACGCGACTAATCGACGTCGTCCGAAGCGCGGCCGGGGCGAACCAGATCACGGCGGGATCGCGCGAGCTCTCGGCATGATACAGCAGCTGTGCCGCTTCCAGCAGTCAGCGCTGGCCTCGACCGCCGAGCTCGAGGCCTCCATCGTCAGGGAACGGGGCGGGAGGCGCATCGACTTGCCGGGGCGGGTCTTTTCCGGGGCCGCGGTGCCGCCGCAGGACCAGGTCAAGGCCATCAAGTCGCAGCAGACGAGCGCCTCGAGGGAGAGGGTGAAGATGATACAGGGTATACAAAGCATGGCCACGGCCCACGGCACCGATCGTGGCGCGGCGGAGCGGAGTGTGACCGGCTTCGGCGAGGAAGGCGTGCAGATAACGGCGGCGGAAGCCGAGGAGACGGCAGGTAACGCCGAGGCCGGCATGGAAGTCCGCCTCGGCCCGTCGACCTCGTTCCTCGAGGCCGGAAAAGGCTTGACGAGACGCTTGACGCTAAACAGGAAACAGGCCATCGCCTTGTCCATAATATGCCGCCACCTTGACTTGATGCGGCGAGGAGACGGAGGCGATGTCGGCCAGCTCTGTCAGTTCGTCGGCGGCGAGGGCGGTACCGGCAAGTCGCGCGTCATCGAAGCACTCGTCGGCCTCTTTGCCGCTAAGGGCATCTCGAGCCGGCTGCTGATCACGGCGACGTCGGGGACCGCGGCGGCCCGGGTCAACGGTATCACCATCCACCCGCCTGCGGCTTCACCAGGACCAAGGGCCGGGCGCGAACACGGCGAGGAGGTCGACGGCGTACGGCTGCCGAGGCAGGCGGAGCGGTTCGTCGACGGCGAGTCCCGCATGGACTGGCAGGACAAGGAGGTGCTCGTCATCGACGAGGTAAGCATGCTCGGCGCGCGCACGCTGCACGCCGTCAACGAGCGGCTCTGCCAGCTGCGGGGTCGCAGCGGGACTTCGGCGGATCCCCATCGTCCTCTTCTGCGGGGACTTCCACCAGTTCCGCCCGGTCCAGGAAAGGTCGATCCTACTGCCGAGCTCGGCCGTCTCGTGGGACGAGGACTACTCGTTCAGGGCCGAGCAGCGCCACCAGCACGACAAGGCGCACGCGCTGTGGAAGCGGTTCACCACTGTCGTCATGCTGGACGAGCAGATGCGCGCCGCCGGCGACCCGGAGCTGCAGAGGCTGCTAAAGCGGATCCGACTGGGCGTGCAGGATCACACCGACCTAGACCTCCTTAACTCAAGATGCTACCGGGAAGGCAGGCGAATCCCGTGGGAGACAGGCATCACCGTGGTCACGCCGCTAAATAGGAACCGGTGGAATCTCAACATGGAGGCGAGCTTAGCATTCCAGATGCAACGACGTTTGACGATACGCATCTTCATCTCCGAGCATAAGTGGAAGGAGGGGCTGCCGACCGAGGAAGAGGCCATCATGATGCTAAACCAGGGCGACGACAGCGCGACCCCAGTGCCGGGCGTCTTTATGTTTGTGGCCGGGATGCCGGTCGTCGTGAACCACAACACCCACCAGGGGCTGAAGCTGGTGAACGGCGCCAGCTACACGGCGGCCGAGGTCATCGTCGACAAGGTGCACCCGGCGCATCGCATCTCGGCCGATATGGCGATCCACTTCGGCCGCCGGCGGCGATCATACTAGGGTCGGAGACGACTAAGGACTTCCACTTCGTCGGGATGCCGCCCGGCACGATCCTGCTGACGCCTATGAGCGTCAGGATCCAGTGTCACCGGAAGCGACCGTGGCAGCAGAAGGAGGTCACCCGCAAGGGCCTGCCGTGCGCCGCGGCCTTCGCGTGCACCGATTATAAGGTGCAGGGCGGGACGCTCGAGCGTGTCGCGCTCGAGCTGCGAGGGACGAGGACGACAAACGTCGGTGGACGTGCCGTCCCCTCGCAGTGCGACCCTTACAGCCTATACGTGCAGCTATCGCGGTGTCCGACGCTAGACGGCATCATGCTCATATCGGAGGTGCGAGAGAGAGACTTCGTGGGAAACCGGGTCCCCCGGGAGATGACGGCCGCACAAGCGAGGCTCGAGGAACTGAGTGACAGAACCGTCCGGAGGCGCTGCGCTGGCTCGGCGACGACTTCGAATACGCGTAGGAATAGTGAACCCTTCGACAGGCACAAATATGAATGAAATGACATCGGACGTTAGACGCGGGAAACGGTGCAATTGTCTGGCTAATCGGAAAGCGCAATTTGAGCGGGAGCGGGAACAGTGGGAACAGCTGACGTAAATAAAAAAGAGTGACTAAGACGAGAAAAAAAAGGGGGGGGGAGAGGCGACGACTTTCATATATGGCCAACAGGAAAGCGGGATGAAAAAGGACACAAAAGAGGGGGGAAAAACAGGGGCAAACTTGTAGGCCAACCGAAAAGCAATCGTTCAAGACGAAAGAGGCAATTTTTCTAGCCAACGGGAAGCCGAGAAAGCTAGCGAATCAGAGGCGCGGATTCGGGGGGCAAAAAAGCGCGGCATAGAAATCCTTTCGTTCCTCAAGGCAAAGCGCGGCATAGAAATCCTTTCGTTCCTCAAGGCATAGAAATCCTTTCGTTCCTCAAGGCACTAACGTTCCTCAAGGCAAATCAGCCAATCAGAGGCGGAGGATGTGGGGGTGAAGCAGTTTGGGGCCTTTTTTCCCCGCGCGCTAAGAAGTCCTTTCGTTCCTCAAGGCACAGTCTGGGGCCTTTTTTCCCCGCGCGCTAAGAAGTCCTTTCGTTCCTCAAGGCAAATCAGCCAATCAGAGGCGGAGGATGTGGGGGTGAAGCAGTTTGGGGCCTTTTTTCCCCGCGCGCTAAGAAGTCCTTTCGTTCCTCAAGGCAAGGCAAGGCAAGTCCTTTCGTTCCTCAAGGCATGGCGGCGTTTTTTTTTCTTTCTCCCCGGGGAGGAACCAGAAGAACCTTTTCGTCACTAACGTTCCTCAAGGCACCTTTCGTCACTCGTTCCTCGTTCCTCAAGGCACCGGAAGAGGAGAAATTTTGTGGACCAATCGTTTTGGGGGGAGGAAGAGTTTGGGCGTTTTTCCCCCGCGCGCTAAGAAGTCCTTTCGTTCCTCAAGGCACATTCGTTCCTCAAGGCATTGGCGGCCTCACTCCGCAAAAGAGGCAGTGCGGCTGCGGCTAGATTTCATAGGATTAGCGAATTCGCGGCATCGAGGACGGCTTCTCCTGCAATGCAACCGGCGGACACGCAGGCGCCGACAATGGTATCCGACGACATGGAAGAAATCGACTTCATGACGGCCTTGACTAAGGCTACGAAAGGTCTTAACCTTTGCCCCAACCGCGTATGGGCCGTTGCCGGGCGCAACTTGTCTAGGCTGATGCCAGCGCACATTCCGGCCCAAGGCCATAATGACGAGTATGAGAATCACGAGCTGTGTACATACGATCTGTGCGAGTATTCGCAGCGCGACTTCACCTCGGTTGCGCAGCGCCACGAGTGTAGAGACAGCCTCTGCGAGCCGCTGCAGGGTCCATTTTCGAGGGACGCGCTTCACCAAGCCGCAATGACGGGAAACTCGACCGTCTGGCGCTTAGACGGAGCCTCGTTGGTCCAGCCGCCTCAGCCGTACATGGCCATCTCCCACGTCTGGTCGGACGGAACGGGAACTGGCGACTGGACCGAGGGAGAGGTCAACGAATGCCTCTTTGGCTTTTTTAGCGGAATCGCATCGCAGTTTCAGTGCGACGGGATCTGGTGGGATACTCTTTGCATCCCGAGAGAAAAGGCGGCTCGAAGCAAGGCGATCCGGAAGATCCAGAGAAATTACCAGGACGCCCGATTCACGCTGGTCCATGACTGCTTCCTCCGGAATTGGGAATGGAACGCCGAAAACGCGTGCTTCGCCCTTCTCATGTCGCCTTGGTTCAGTCGAGGTTGGACCGCACTCGAGTTGGCAAAGTCGCCCAAGGTCAAGGTGATCTTCAGGGGGCCCTCGGGACCGCTGATAAAGGACCTCGACGACCAGATTCTCGCCAATGACGATGGCTGCTCGGATGCCCACAAGAGAGCATCCGATATCATCAGGCGCCTTCGACGACCAATCGAGACACTCGACGATCTGTTGGCCGTCCTTGGCCCGCGCCACACGTCTTGGCCCAAGGACAAGGCCATCATCTCCGGCCTGTTGGTAGATCTCGACATGAAGTCTCTGTCCCTGCAGCATGGCATCTGGCAGCAGCACATCTATCAAGGCATTCTAAGGAAGATGGGCAAGATTTCGCCCGGATGCCTCTTCCACAATGCTGCGACCATGTCGAGAGGATTCAGCTGGTGTCCGGTAGACCTATATAAGATGCCAAGGAGCCCATCCGAGGCCTCATTAACAATTGACGAAAAGGGCAATGCCATAGGAATGTGGCGCGTGATCCGCATGCACGATGCTCTCCAGCAGAGTTTCTTGTGGAATGGCGTCCATCATCTAACCCAAGAGCGGCTTGTAGCTGCCCTACGATGCCCAGCGAGATGTGTCCTCTTGGCCGAGCCTGGAACTGGACCGGTGGGGAAAGCGCTGCTGGTCAAGGCCATGGAACACAAAGGGATGCCCATGACGCTCTGCTGTCAATATGTCGGGCAAGTATGGTTTCGCCAAGAAACTGCTCAAAGCGGGAACCTCGAAGACTGCATCGAGATGGAAGCCGTAGTGTTGGGCGATGTGGACGATGAGCTGGCCATGGCTACTTGGAACGCTTGGGCGCTTGTCGAGAATCTGCAGGCAAGAATGGATGCTGAGGACTCAGCCAGCAAGGAAAGGGCATCGACGGGTCGGGAAGAGCCAAGAAACGGCACTCCGGGCATAGCCTTGGCAAAAGTTGATGATGTCGATGCCGTTTCGCAGAGAACGGCATTGCATGATGCCATCTGGAGAGGGGATGACGACGTCCTCTTGGCGCCCGGCAACCCGAGGTCGCGGGACGGCATCGGACAGGAGCCACTCCATCTTGCGGCCGAGCGAGGCCTCGCCGACATGGCTCTATCTCTGCTCAACAAGGCAGACAGCGAGGCAGAGCGGGAGTCGATGCTAGAGTCTCGATGCCACCAGCGCCAGACTGCGCTGCACCGCGGCGCCTGGGGAGGTTCAGTCGCCGTTGTCGAGCTCTTGCTTAGGAGCGGAAGCAAAACAAACAAGAAGGACAAGGGGAAGAAGATTCCGCTACATATAGCAGCCGAGAAGGGCCATGCGGCCGTTGTCAGGCTCCTGCTCCGGAACAAGCGCGAGGTCTATGAGGAAGACTTGAAGACTCTGACGTCGCTGCATTACGCGGCCATGCACGGACACGCAGCCGTGGCCCGGCTTCTGCTCGAAGCGGCGGCCCGAATCGACACCAAGGACAGGATCGCCGGCTGGACGGCACTTCACCACGCCGCATACAGCGGGCACCACGAGGTGGTCAAGCTCCTGCTGGCCGAAGGAGCCGACGCCGGGGCCACAGATGACATGGTCGGCTGGACGCCGCTGCACATGGCGGCCATGAGCGGACGGCCGACGGCTGTCGAGCTGCTGGTCAGCCACGGTGCCGTCGTCGACGCCCGGGACAGCAAGGGCTGGACGCCGCGACGCCTTGCTGCCGCCGGCAGGCACGAGGCCGTTGTCAAGCTGCTACCGGGAGAAGACGCCGACGAGGGCTTCGACGAGAGGGACGTCGACCGGTGGACGACGCTGCACTGCCTGGCGATAGAGGGCCAGCAACAGGGCTTGGTCCCGCTGATGGGCGTCCCCCTCAAGTCCGGCGACAACAGCAAGGGCTGGACGCCGCTCCATTGCGCGGCAAAGAACGGGCTCAGGGCAGTGGCCCAGCTGCTGCTGATGGGCGAGGAGACGGCCGTCGAGGAGGACGACGGTGGCCGGAAGGGGTTCTGGCAGGGGGCCGGGCGGCGGCTGAAGACGTTTAAAAAGGCATCGGTTCCGAGACACGGCGTCCTCGAGGCCAGGAACAAGGGGGGGAGGACGCCGCTTCAGCTGGCTGCGAAGACGGGCCAGGCGGCCATCGCCCGGCTGCTCCTCGAGACGGGCGCCAACCAGGACGCCAAGGACCTGCTGCAAGCGACGCCGCTTCACCTGACGACCGTCAAGACCCGGTCGGGCATCTCGGAATGGGGCCAGGCGGCCGTCGCCCGGCTGCTCGTCGAGGCCGGCGCCAACAAGGAGACCAGGGACCACTCCAACTTGACGCCGCTGGGCCGGGCCGCCGCGAGCGGCCACTATCCCGTCGCCCGGCTGCTCGTCGGGGCCGGCGCCGACAAGGAGGCTAAGACGAAAACGTGGAAGACGCCGCTGTTCCTGGCTTCGGCCAACGACCACAAGCAAGTTTCGCGCCTGCTGATCGAGGCCGGTGCCAACAAGGAGGACGCGCGAAGCGTGCTGGGAGTGCCCAGGCCCTTTGCGAAGCGTCTTGGACAAACGGCCGGCTACGCTGCGGGAATGGGGCAGGTAGCAGTAGGAGTCATGGGAAGCTATACAATGGGCAAGAATGTAAAATTTTAGGTAACCAAGTACGAATACGAATACGAAGTACGTCTATACGAATAGAGCGACCTTCCCCCCCCCCCCTTCATCTCATCCGACCATAGACCCACTTTGGTACCATGGTCAGCGCATAGTGTGGCTAACTGTTGCAAACCGGGCAGAATCACGGGCAGGATCCACCCCAGGTGTGCAGGGCCAGTTCACTGCACAAACGCTGGGTGCAGCCCTAGCCCTTATTTGCAGGGATTGCAGCCTCGCACAGGTCTATAGTCTGCGCGCCCCTCCACTAGGGATGGGGCCAGTAGCTAGCATCAGCATCATCAGAGCTTTTCCACAATAACAGTCCATCGACAGTATCCTTTGGCGTGTGTCTCACTGGCTGGACCCAGACACGCAGCCTGTCAGACATTTTGCTCCACACGGGTCAGAGATGGCCTCAGGCAATTTACTCGTGCCACGCCCCACTTTTCTGGATTCCGGTTCACCTTCACCAGCCAGCTTGGCAACTCTCCCCTGTAAAAATTCTTCTCTTCTGCGGGCTGTTAGCAGCCTGTTAGTGGATAATTATTTTCAGGTCACCCGACCATGCTTCTGCCTCTCTAGCCCTAACGGGGCTCTAGCAAGCACCAAAAGGCAGACTTTGGAGAGTTCGTCTCCTCTTGGAAGCTGGTCTCAAATAACAGCATGCCTTGCGCTGCCTCGCCTTCTGCCGCCTTGCGGCATCGCCTTCTGCCGCCTTTGCTGGCTGGCCTCGACTTCTGCCGCCTCGCGGCCCCGACCTTTCTGCCGCCTCGCGGCCCGACTTCTTCTCGCCCTTCCTGGCACGCCTCGCGCTGCCTCGCACCCTCTGCCGCCTTTACCGGCTGGCTCGCCTTCTGCCGCCTTGCGGCCCTGACTCCTTCTGCCGTCTCGCGGCCCCGACCTTTGCTGCCTTGCGGCCCTGCTGCCGCCCAGCGGCCACGACTTCCTCTGGACTGGTGGGCCGCGGGGGCCCCGAGGAGCTACAAGAGCCTAGAGCTCAAGGCCTCACCCGGGTGCCCCCCGGAGCTGCACACCAATCGACAACACCTCCACCACCTGCTTGCTACGAGGAGTAGGCACGGGGACTTCGCCGACTGTCATGACCACGAAGTGGCCCCGGATCGAACGCTCCTGCGGGAGAAGACAATCGCCATCGGGGCGAACCCCCGACTAACATTGCTACACTCTCTGCTCCCTTTTTCTTTTCTTTTTCTTTCTGCCCCGTAGGCCCTCCTCGAGGGGGCTTGCGGCCGGCCCATGACTTCGTGGGCTTTCTCAGTCACCCGGCCTCGGCCAAAGACTGACTACTATTACGGCTTCACTGCCGTGCCTGGAACCCGCTGACGGGGGAAGGGCCCCGAATTTCCGACCGGCCTCAGAGCCTCAGAATTGCTAGATGGAGTGGTTAGGTGCTACACACGGTCCTTAGTCCAGGTACTCGGGATATTCTATGTATCTAGTCTTCTCTAGCCTAGCACGTCTTTTGCCCTTATAGGGATGTCCCAGACGGTAATCAATACTACTACTACTACTCGTCCCACAGACCCACGTAAAGTGGGTCCTCACCACCTGTCTGTGTCAACCACCTGGCTGTGTCACTTCACCGCTTCAAGCCTCTATCTTGACCTCAACAACGGCACATTATGAAGAATAAAGAGCTTACGCTTGAAAGGCGCGTAGCCGAGGCTATTAAAGCCATTGAGGCAAATCCCAGTATGTCCCTTCGCGCTGCGGCTAAGGAATTTGGGGTTCCACGCGAACGACTCCGCTTGCGATTTCACGGCATCCAACCTCGCAGCGGCCATAAAGCAACGCATACGAGGCTATCGCCAGCTCAAGAGGACTCAATCGATCTGTATATCGATCGTCTTGATCGTATAGGACTTGCGGTGCGGAAGGACTTATTACGCGATGCAGCAAATCGGGTTCTAAGCTCCACGGTCGGCCCTGATGGTACCCGCAACGAACCCTTCGACTCCCAATGCTTTGTTGGCAAAAACTGGATATCCCGTTTTATTAAACGCAAGGGATATCATATTATGAAGCAAAAGGTACTCGATAACCAACGCAAGCTTGCCCAATCAGTCCCGCACGTTACCGAGTACTTCAAGAAGCTCCACGAGACGATTGCCTCGTACGGGATTAACCCGGCTGATATCTGGAATATGGACGAGACGGGCTTCCGTATTGGTATTGGCAGGGACCAAGTTGTCGTCACGAAATCAAGGCGATCGCAATACTTTGGTATTGAGGAAAACAGGGAGTCGGCAACAGCCGTTGAAGCGATTTCTGCCGATGGTCGATACATCCCTGCGTTTTTGATCCTATCCGGCAAGGTCCACCTCGAACAGTGGTACGGCATCAAGGAGCTAGATGGCGATACCCTTATTGGTGTTACGGAAACGGGATTTACGAACGATCAGCTCAATCTAGCGTGGATTCAACATTTCGATAAGCATGCAAAGAGCAAAGGTGCTTGGAGGCTATTGCTCCTTGACGGCCACGGCTCCCACCATACCCTTGACCTTATCGAGTACGCTGAAGCCCATAATATTGTGCTCTTTGCATTGCCTCCGCATCTTACGCATCTCCTTCAACCGCTTGACGTCGTGATATTTCAGCCGTATAAACATTACCACAGTCGGGCAGTCGATTTTGCTATTCGCAGTGGTGCGAGTAAAATCACCAAGCTGGAGTTCCTCGCTATGATCCAATCAATCCGCGTCAAAGCCTTCAAGGAGTCTACAATCCTCTCGGCATTCAAAAACAGGAATCCACCCATTCAATCCAAAGCCAATCCTCGAGAGACTCAAAGAGAGGGTACGGGACCAGACGCCGCCGACAGAGCTACCTGCAGAGCCGTATTCATCCCCTTTGGTACCCCATACCGTACGGAAGTTTGAATCAGTTGGCCAACGTCTCCTTGAGTTTGACCCAATTGATGATATTGAGAAGGAGGTCTTCGTACATAACCTTCAACGCTACGTTAAAGGTGCAATCTCCCAAGGCCACGAGTTAAAGCAAACGATGGTCGATCTGTACAATACCAAGCTTGCCGAGCAGCAACGCCAAGGCCGGAAGAAATACAAGAACCGCCACCTTCAAAGCGGTGGAGTACTGACTGTAGACGAAGGGAGGGCTATTGCGAAGTCAAAGGAAGATATTCGCATTGCAAAAGCAGAAAAGTTGGTACTGGCGAAGCAAAAGAGGGAGAAAAGGGCGATTGAGCTCGAGGAGCGACGGGCAGCCCGGGCGGCTAAGAAAGCCGAAAAAGAAGCCCAACGGTCAGCTTTATAAGCTACAAAAGTCAAAATAGGTAGACTATTGCGGCCAGTATTCAATTATCGTATGCATCAACTTTTAACTTTTTTTGCCGTTTTATTATTAAATTAAGTTGGCGTTGAAGCCGTAAAGTGACACAGCCAGGTGGTTGACACAGACAGGTGGTGAGGACCCACTTTACGTGGGTCTGTGGGACGAGTACCAGCCAAGCTGGCTGGTAGTAGTAGTAGTAGTAGTATTGATTACCGTCTGGGACATCCCTATAAGGGCAAAAGACGTGCTAGGCTAGAGAAGACTAGATACATAGAATATCCCGAGTACCTGGACTAAGGACCGTGTGTAGCACCTAACCACTCCATCTAGCAATTCTGAGGCTCTGAGGCCGGTCGGAAATCCGGGGCCCTTCCCCCGTCAGCGGGTTCCAGGCACGGCAGTGAAGCCGTAATAGTAGTCAGTCTTTGGCCGAGGCCGGGTGACTGAGAAAGCCCACGAAGTCATGGGCCGGCCGCAAGCCCCTCGAGGAGGAGGGGGCGAAAGAAAAAAAAAAAGAAGCAGAGAGTGTAGCAATGTTAGTCGGGGTTCGCCCCGATGGCGATTGTCTTCTCGCAGGAGCGTTCGATCCGGGGCCACTTCGTGGTCATGACAGTCGGCGAAGTCCCCGTGCCTACCTCGTAGCAAGCAGGTGGTGGAGGTGTTGTCGATTGTGTGCAGCCCGGGGCACCTGGTGAGGCCTTGAGCTCTAGGCTCTTGTAGCTCTCGGGGCCCCGCGGCCCACCAGTCCAGAGGAAGTCGTGGCCGCTGGGCGGCAGCCGCAAGGCAGCAAAGGTCGGGGCCGCGAGACGGCAGAAGGAGTCAGGCCGCAAGGCGGCAGAAGGCGAGGCCAGCCGGTAAAGGCGGCAGAGGGTGCGAGGCAGCGCGAGGCGTGCCAGGAAGGGCGAGAAGAAGTCGGGCCGCGAGGCGGCAGAAAAGGTCGGGGCCGCGATGCGGCAGAAGTCGAGGCCAGCCAGTAAAGGCGGCAGAAGGCGAGGCAGCGTGAGGCATGCCGTTATTCGAGACCAGCTTCCCAAGAGGAGACGAACTCTCCAAAGTCTGCCTTTGGTGCTTGCTAGAGCCCCGTTAGGGCTAGAGAGGCAGAAGCATGGTCGGGTGACCTGAAAATAATTATCCACTAACAGGCTGCTAACAGCCCGCAGAAGAGAAGAATTTTTACAGGGGAGAGTTGTAGTCAGAGTGGTAGGCGCGTTAGTCAGGCCCTTTATTTTTGGGGGTAGTTATCCGTACAACACATTTTGGTAAATGTACAACAGAAAGTGGAGTAAACGTGGCTTGGGTGTACCTAATACATGGTCAGCGGTCGTAGGCACGCAGGCATAGCACTTACACAAGGCCATAGGTAGACGTTGCAAGGCCACAACAGGAAACGTTGTGAAGCCTGCATGAAGCCTGCAGAGTGTTGCAAGGCTATACAAGAAGAGGAAGGGCACACAAGTAGATGCCATACAAAGCAGGAGGCTTGCAGCCTCACAAGGCTACAGCCTGCCTGCTGCCATGTCTAATTGCGCGAGTAGGCGGGCGATGTGCGCGTACTCAGTACCTTCTATACAATTGACTGTGGCGGACTATGGCGTAGAGAGCCAACCAATAGAAACAGGTGACGCCACGTCTGCCCCGCCTTTTGTTGTACATTTACCAAAATGTGTTGTACGGATAACCACCCCCTTATTTTTTCATTGGTTGAGAGAAGCGGGGCAAGACGGATTAATATTCGGGCCGCGATGATTTCTCTTGAAACGGTTGATCCCGTAAATGCGCCTTCATTCCCTCCTCGCGTGAGCCTCGAAATCGACTTCGTCATAGGCCACCAATCGACATTTCCACGTCCTATTCCATCCAATGTCCGAACTTCCCCGGGAGATTGAAAAGCTTCAGCGTTTGCTGAAGAAAGCACGGCGGGAGAAAGAGGAAGCAAAGGCGCGAGAAGAGGAAGCAAAGACGCGAGAAGAGGAAGCAAAGGTGCGAGAAGAGGAAGCAAAGGTGCGAGAAGAGGAAGCAAAGGCGCGAGAAGAGGAAGCAAAGGCGCGAGAAGAGGAAGCAAAGGCGCGAGAAGAGGAAGAGCGGCGCAAGAGCCAGAAGACCACGCTGGAGGAATATTTATACAACTGCCATTTCCACCTCTATACGAAACTCGGGTTCGCCGACAAGTCCAAGTTCGACGGACTCGCTACGCGAGTCGACAACAAATACTATCCTAAGTGGCTACGTCCTTGGAACACCTTCGCCAGCTACCAGCGACACCAACATTTTGACGAGATCAGGAGGGTCTGCGGTGAGAGTCGGCTATTTCATCAAGAGAGTACGACCAGAAACCTAGGAGCTACTGTCTCTTACGATCCGGCTGGTAATGAGAACGCCGTCGAGTACTTCGAGAAGATCGCAGTTGAAGTTCCCGTGCGGGAAATCCTGGCGCCCGTCTGGGATCAGGAGGGCTCACATGGGGAGCACCGGATTACGATGTTACGATTCAGTCACAACGTCCGCGACTTCACGCAACCGAGCGATAGTCGGATTGGAGATGATGACCCAAACGAGGAAAGGCAGGAGCGACGACGGCCGGCCGGGACCACCATGCGAATCGCATCCACAAGAGAATTTCAGCCGCCACCAGTGAAACCTGATGGAGGGGGCATACGTACGCACCTGGACGGTGACGAGAGCATGGCTTTTGTCTATGACTTTAAGGCAGCTCACAAGTTTGCGGCGGCGTACCTCAAGGCCACACTTGCGAAAGAGAAACTGTTTTCGGAGGTCATCGCAAGGTACAACAGCAATAAATACAAGAGCAATGCCAAGCTGCAGGAGCAAGAGAGGGAGGAAACCCGGATTGCCATGGCGCTAACACAAGTCTTCGACTATATGGTTTGGTATGGGGTTGCATACGGCTATGTCGCCGCCGGTAAGTCCTTGGTCTTCCTTCATATGGACCGAGATAAACCACAGACGTTGTATTATCATCTATGCATGCCAAACGAAGAGGTGGTCGAAGTGTCGGCTGGGGATCGGGCTAGACAGGTGCCTCATACCGCAGTAGCTCAACTGGCCAGCTTTTGCCTGTTGAGTCTCCGATCCGAGGCGCTCAGGGGAAATTCACTCGACGCGGCTTTGCAGAAGGCAAAAAAAGAGCTGAAAAAATGGGGGGAGCCGTATGAGGACCTGCGTCTTCTCGGAGCAGAAGGTACGGATTCATCGTCGCCCTCGTCATCGCAAGGGACGGAAGGCTCGGAGTTCCAGTCCGTTGAAGGCCCAACAAACCGAGTGTACCCACTGCGATCGAGGTCATCGTGCATGGGCGGGGCAGTTCGTCGCAGAAACGAGGACGACGACGACGATGGTCCGAAGAGTGATCCATCCCGGACTTGGACAAGAACCAACACGAATGAGCGTAGGCAATGTCCATCGAGCGGCAGCTGTGACCACCAGGAGACCGAAACATCCGATCCGGGACCCACCAGGCAATACTGCACACAGGCCTGCTTGTTGAGCCTCAAGAGAGGCTGGGATCTCGACGCCAATTGCCCCAATGTGCCCTCGCATCGCACCGCCGAAGGCGGTATCCGACACCCCATCGACGCCGGCGAGTTCACCCGCCTAGTGGGCGAGCGGCTGCGCCGGAATCCTTATCGAAACTGCAAGGCGCTGGACGGCCAAGGCAAGGTTGGGGCGACAGGGGTGCTCTTCAAGTTAGAGCTGGCGCCGTATGGCTACACATTCGTGGGCAAGGGAACGCTGTCGGATCATCTATACCGCCTGGAGCACGAGAGCCGTATCTACGCGCATCTCGACAAGCTCCAGGGCGAGGTGGTGCCGGTCCACTTTGACATCGTCCGACTGGCTAGGGGTTACGTCCTCCCTGGCGGGGCAAGGGTCGTTCACATGATGCTAATGTCGTGGGGCGGCGAAGTGGCCGTGGAGGTGGGGGTGCCGGACTTAGCGGCTGAGGTGAGGCGTTCTTCGCAGGCCGTCTGGGCCGAGGGTGTCGACCACGGTGACGAGCGCGAACCCAATCTGCTCTGGAACGACGAGCGCCGCCGCGTCATGCTCGTCGACTTCGACCGCGCCAACCTTCTCCCAGCTCCCAAACACAAGCAGCTTTTCCATTTATCCCGGGATAAGAGGAAGCGGCAGAGAGACGGTTTGGAGCTCGTAGCAGGAAACGTGGCTTGCTACGAGATCATTTGCAAGTGGTGGAATAGCCTTTCGTATCTTTTCCGTTCCTGCTGCTTGAAGCCTTACTGCTCTGAACTGGCGGGACGTGAAGTTCCAGCCAAGCAAACCACTGCAACTACCCAAAATTTCCCCTCAAGCGGACTAGCGCATACAATGAATGGGGCAGGAGTCTGATCGGGAGCTACCGCAACCGCCCTAGCTACTGGTGATCATGATTGTAAGCAATCGGGCCGCGACTCCGGTGTTTGTTGGCCCGGCTTCTGTCCACATGTTCCTGAACAACCTTCACTACAGCCGAGCGATAACTGTGACCGCGCGGTTACTGGCCACTAGGGGATACCAGCAACAACGCATGAATGGTTGCTGGCACTGGGGCTGGGCGGTTACCAGCAGCATCTAGCGACCAGGAACAAGAGTCTAAAGGTGACTGGCACCTGTAAATTGCCGCCAACCTCTGACCATGGGTAACCAGTAGCCCCAGGCTACCAGCCACTGCACTGGGCGGTTACTGGCACCCGAGGCTCTGCTCGGCTGGGTGCTCTTGCTGCCTGTCTTACAAGGTACTAGCGCCTACGCTTATTTAGACGCGGGGCCGGGATCGCTCATAGCCCGCTACTGGTAAACTCTGGCCGCGCACACCGCCTGCGGACCGCTTGCGGAAGACGAACGACAGTCGACACTGCAAACGGTGCGTTCCGAGCTCGACCGACATCCTCCTCGAACGAACAGCACCGGAGGATTGGGGAGCTCCATCATGGAAGAGCCGGCCAAGGCCGTGATTATGGTGGGGCAGGGCATGCCGCCCGTTCCAACTCCCACGAAAAAATCGAGTCGCGTCACGAGACGTAGCAGCAAGATTCAGGAAGCGACGAGACAGCTTGAAGATACAGCGGATAGGACAAAGCGGAGCGCCAGGATTGCAACGCGTTTGGCGCCAGATGCAGTTACGACCAATAACACGACCGAGCTGCAGAGGCTCAGCAGCAGCAGCAGCAGCAGCAGCAGCAGTAGTGTCAACGAAGGCAGGGCTATGCTCATTGCTCCAGACGACCTTGGACCTGCTGAGCGTATCCCGTCAAGGGAAAGGAGCAAGGGGAATAGGCTTGTCTTGGCAAAACCTCGCTATTCTACTCAGACTCGGTATCCATGTCGAAATGGCCAGATCTTTCCATCTCCTTTTCCCACGCTACCTGACCGAACTCATCCACGATGAGCTCTTCGGCCTCTTCCAATGCCCGTTTGCCCCGGAGATCGTCAATAGACGCCCAGGTTGGCTTCCAAATGACCTTATATTCGATGGACCCATTCCATGCCTTTCGTACTTCCACCAAGCGTAAGAACTCGTATTCCCGACTGGTGCAAGTCGCAATGCGCTTCTTTGAACACGATACGAAGAAGCAGTAGCAGCACGTGGCGCAGACTTCCTCTTACGCCCGCTTCGACGCGGCTTGGTTACCTCGGACTTTTCACAGACCGTGATCGCTTCGGGAGGCGCCTGCTGCAGGGGTGATGGGCATTCAGGCTCGATCATTCCGTTCTCTGCAAAATACTGTAAGAAGTGCATGTGCAGGTTGTAGGCAAGAGCTCATAATACCTTGATTTGCTAAAACGCTACGCTGACGTGGCCCAGTTTGCTCACTGATGACCCTTTCGTACTCGGAGAAAAGAGATTGAAGACGGTTGGCGTCCATTGCTGGGCCCGTAGTAGGTGCTAGGGATCGCGCGATGCATGAGGTTGTCCCCTGCATTTCTGTCTCTGGGCCCGTCGACTTGACTAGGGGAGCGCCAAACTTAACGTTGGGGGTTTCATAGTCAGGCTCCGAGATGGTCTGACTGGGTTCACTTGTGCTTCCTGAGTCGCTGCTGGAGCCAGAGTTGCCGCTCCTTGAACTGGCTGGTGAGGGAGACGGAGTCGAGGACTGGAAGTTCCCAGTGACTGCAGAATGGTGGAATGAGTGACCTCGGCTCGGAGAGGGCCAGCGGTATGTCTTCTTCCGAGTCATTCGGTCCATCTTCTCAGTCACGTAGGAAACAAAGATATGGAAGAAAAGTGTTAGATGGTGAGGAAGCCGGGGAATCCGGGGAATCCATGACCGTTTTATAGACAATCCGAGCCCTCCATACCCTTAGCTGTATGAGTAACGAGAAGAGGAAGACGGGGGCCAGTTTTGCCAAAGCCATCACCGTGACATATCAGGGCCTCCTCTCCAAGGCGCAGCCTTTCCACCCACCTTGAGTCGTGGGCGGTAGGGGACAAGCTGGCGAGGCCAACAGGCCCCCCGTCCCTTTTCCGCTCTCCACACTCTCGTGTCTCGCCTCTCACTGGTCACCAGCCCCCTCTTCCTCCACCAACATCGCTTCTCCTGTCCCCCCCGAGATGAGTTGCATCGCAAAACTGCAGCAGAGTAGGGGAGCAAGCACCCAATCTCAGTGCGTGCCGGACAAGCAGGTCGTCCAGGTAAGACCACCGGACCACCTAACTCATAAACGTCACCTTTGGGTATAGTCCGTCGTCGGGAGCCCTGGCACGAGCCGCGGTGCGGAAAGCCGTGTACCCGAAACTCGTACGATTCGACATAGCCTGCAAGATTGAGGAAGGATCATCCCATCTTCATGCGGGCACAGGAACAGACCCAGGGTGGACAAAGACGGAGATGACGTCGAGCCACGAATCACAACATGGAGAGCTGGCGTGCGTCGCGATTGTGGTCGCAGATTGCGGGGCCCATGTCGGTGGAATTCTTGTCAGAGGACGGTCCGTTGCTATGATGCCAATCAAGGAGGCTTCACCAGCCAACGCCGGAGCAGGCCAGTGTTCCATCGGTGGTCGTCTCGGAGCACCGAGGACTTTTGACGGAGCTAACGGATACGAGGGAAGGTCAGCTGGCCTGATCTCTGCATGTGTTCGTATGCAGTATACCTAGCAAAAGGCAAGGCAGACTTTGCCACGTCATCCGATCCCAGAACAGCGGACAATGTTGCAGCGGAAGCCCGTGGGTCATCGCGATCATAGCGGCAACCAAGTCACTGGCAGGATCCAAGGATCTGGCGGGTACCGTGATCGCGTCAAGCTGTTGCCAGAGCATGGAGGTTGAGAGTCAGGGGAAACCCCGTCCACATCGGCGAGTGAAGGCCCATTCTATTCAGGGCGTTGAAGCAACAGGAGGAGCCCTTCCCTCCTCCTAAGCTAAGGTGAAGGACCAAAGGGACAAAAGATATGGCTGATGAAGCGGACATGCAGAACCCAAGGGCATCAAGACTCAGCTGAAACATGCAGAGTAGGAGTCGAGGGGGTCGTGTGAGCGGAGCAGAGTTGGGCAAAGGAGGGGGCTGTGCATCAGAGATGGCCGGCCGACAGGGATAACGGTGAGAGAAAGAGAGAGGAGGAAAGGGTGAGTTGAGCGGAAGGGGGGAGGGAGTGTAGGTGTTCTTATAGCAATCCCGTATGCAGCGACGGGCCAAAAGGGGAAGGGGCTTGCCTAAAGCGGAAGGCGGTGGGGGGCGGCGGGGAATTTGCAACGACCGACTTTACATATGAATCATGTGATATCTGTAGATGTACTGAAAGAGCTATATATAGATGTATTCCAAAGCTCATAAAGCTTTCTGATCCTCCATGTGAAGTGATTGGTTGTATAGATATGCCTGCTATGTTTACAGATAAATTTAAATGTATACCATGTTTTGCTAGTACTAACACATACAATGATCTAGTACTATATATATTCAAGATGTCTAATAAATCTGCAGAATTTACTAGAGTGCTGATGAGCCTTCATGCAAATAGAGGCTGGTTGTGTGAAATTAAGTAGGTCACCATAATATAAGTTTTTTAAAATTCGCTAGAATATTCATACTGACCTAGTTGAGTGACATAGTTTGAGACACTCGATAGACATCTTTAGAGAGAATGTTTGATCTATAGAATTTGCTATTATATATGCATCAAACTTGTCTGTAGAACTTAACTTTAATTCCCATGGAGATACAGGATACATTGGTAATAGAGATGGAAGTTCTACTTGAAAGCTGACAGCCTCTCTCTCTGAGACTTTAGTCTCAATGAGAGACTCAAGTTCACTGACATCTTGAAAGATATCACCTGTTTCTCTGATTGCATGAATTAGAATCATACGAGATTTAACATATTCTTCTATTAGTTTCTTTGCAGTATACTCTCTCTTTGATATTATTGATGCGTTTTTGCGTGTCCCTACGCACACTGGAGCGTTGGGCACGGCACCAAGCATCAAGGACACCGGCTGCCGCACGCACAGCCATGTGAACAGGCAGCCGTGTGAACAGGCAGCCGTGTGAAACAGGCAGCCGTGTGAAACAGGCAGCCGTGTGAACAGGCATCGGTATGTGGCTGCCTTGTAAACCGGCCGGATCGCCTAGATAGTCCGACCTGGCTGCCTCCTACATAAGGATGAGGCAGTCATAGCTTAGTTGGAGAAAGAACGATCCCACTTCATCTCATCCATATGCAAAATGCATCAGATTGGTAGCAATTCCTACCCTTTGCTTTGATTAGCACCAGTGAGCCATTGTGTAAGCCTCACACCATAGCTCAAGTCTGCTTGGGCACCACACGTGAGCCGTTGACTCGGGCTCGCACCAAAAAAAAACCACCAAAAACAACCATCGTGACTTAAGGGATTTTCCGGTGATCTGCCGGATCTGGCGATTCGCCGGATTTTGGGCTCATTGCATTCCAGCAAAGAACTGAGAATAACTTCACGAATACTATTTGAATTGTTCTAAAATCTTATAAGAGCAGTTAATAATGCTCAAAGATGCCACTCAATCTTTTTGAAGTCATCCAGCCATCGAGGTCGTCTTCTGTTACTCTCCGATCGCGCAAGTCCCCGAAATGCACCCATTGCCTCCCGATCACTATCAACAGCTAAAGAGGGCCTTTGAGGACAGGATATGTCGTTTGAAGTTATCATTGCCTTATTATTTGCGTTATTATATAGTGTGTTTGGTACCTGCAATGCTATGGCCCGCTCTGGTGTGAACGGAAGAGTGACAATTTTTGCAGCGTGAACATCCTGACTCCTCTCGCGACCCTCAGAAGCCACCCGTCGCTCATTCTGCATTTTCTGTGGCTTTTCCACTTTCAAAATCTTCAGCTCTTGTTAATAATGCCAATTTATCTCCTTATTTTGCTT